AATTTTCCTTTTTTTGTAGATCTCTAAATCACTGTTAAATTTAACAATTTGCAACCTTTTAAATACCAGTACTGTTAATTTTTGTTGAGGTCAAAATTGGGCAATTTGGACATTTTGCAAGACAAATGTAATTCAGCTTTAAATTTATGCAAAAAAAAAAAAAGAAAAAAAAGACTAAATGTCATTAGTAAACAAGCCAAGATGACATAATATAGTAATATTTTTAATGGAGATGAATTATGACAATAGTTATATGTATATGTCTTTTAAAGTGTGAAATAGGTCATCTTGTGGAATATAAATTTAAAAAAAAATACATCTTTTACGTAATATTTGATAATTGTTTTTTGTGAACATTAATTATTTAGTTTTTCTGGACAATACCACTGTTTTGGAAGCCAAGCTTTCACACAAACATTATATTTTTATATATAAGACATTTGTCATTGTCAAATACCGGTAATAGGCTGCCAGAATCTCTAGGACTAGGATACATACTACAGTTCATATACATTTGTCATCTCCGTCTGCCTATCATGGGAATCCCATTCTAGCCCACTCAAATTAATTAACCTCACACTTTGTTAAATATATTTTTTTGAATACAAAAGTTATTTTACATGCATTTATAGATCAGACTGTTGGTTTTCCTGTTTGAATTGTTTTACACTAGTCATTTTGGGGCCCTTTATAGCTTGCTGTTCGGTGTGAGCCAAGGCTCCGTGTTGAAGGCCGTACTTTGACCTATAATCATGATAATTGTTTATGACTTGGATGGAGAGTTGTCTCATTGGTACTTATACCACATCTTCTTATTTATATTTTAGTATAAAAATAAGGAGATGTGGTATAATTGTGAACTTTCCACCAGAGACAATATGACGTGTATGTAAGCAGCACTCTTATATAATTTGTCAATATAAAGATAAGGAGAAGTGGTATAATTGCCAATGAGACAGCTATCCACCAGAGACCAAATGAAGTACTGCATAGCAAGCTATAAAAGGCCTTGACATGACTAAATGTAACAAAAAACAACCTCTGAATAACAGGCTCCTGATTTGGGACAGGCACATACAAAATATGGCGGGGTTAAACATGTTTGCAGGCGCTCAAACCCAAACCCTCCCCCAATTTGGGACAACTGCATAATAGGTTACAGCACAACGTACATGTAAGAACAAACAATAAAAACCAGTTGAAAAAGTTTGACTCATCAGATGGACGGACACAAAGCACATAAAAAACAACTAACAAAAGTATTATATAAGCTTGCTGTTTAGTGTGAGCCAAGGCTCCGTGTTGAAGTACTTTGACCTATAATTGTTTACTTTTTATACGACCGCAAAAAAATTTTGTGGTCGTATATTGGTATGACGTTGGCGTCGTCGTCGTCGTCGTCCGGCGTCGTCCGAAGACACATTGGTTTTCGCACTCTAACTTTAGTTTAAGTGAATGGATCTTTATGAAATTTTACCACAAGGTTCAATACCACAAAAGGAAGGTTGGGATTAATTTTGGGGGTTATGGTAATAACAGTAAAGGAATTAGGGGCCAAAAATAAGCATTTTTGTAACTTCCAGACATAACTTGTGTGTTAGTGTATGGATCTCTCTGACATTGTACCACAAGGTTCCATATCACTAAAGGAATGCTGGGATTGATTTTTGGGGTAATTGCCGCCAAATTTTAGGAATTAGGGGCCAAAAAAGGGGCAAAAAACAAGCATTTTTCTAGTTTCATGACAATAACTTGTGTGAGTGTATGGATCTTTCTGAAATTGTACTACAAGGTTCCATATCACAAAGGGAAAGCTTGAATTGAGTTTGGGGGTAATTGCCCTAAACGTTTAGGAATTTGGGGCCAAAAAGGGGCCAAAAAACACATTTTTTTCTAGTTTCCAGACAATAACTTGTGTTCAAGTGTATGGATCTCTCTGAAATTGTACTGCAAGGTACCATACCACAAAGGGAAGGCTGGGATTGAGTTTGGGGGTGATGAATCATAATGGGGGTTCAAAAAATTTTGGGGGGGGGATTTATTTTTTTTTCCTTTTTTTTCTTTTTTTCCTTTTTTGTTTCTTTTAAAATTTTCCATTTTAAGTTGGTTATTTCTGATTTATATTTAAAATCAAATAATAATGATATGGTAGGAGATACACACCAAACAGGATGTGTAAATTATTATATAATAAGTATTGTGCAATAGCAAGAAATTTTCAATTGCACAGTATTGCACAATAGCAAGAAATCTTCAATTGCACAGTATTGCGCAATAGCAAGAAATCTTCAATTGCACAGTATTGCGCAATAGCAAGAAATATCCAATAGCACAATATTGCGCAATAGCAAGAAATTGTCAATTGTACAGTATTGCGCAATAGCAAGAAATATTTAATAGCACAGGATTGTGCAAAAGAAGATACTTCCTATAAATTGCTTATTTCTTGACCAATTTCAATGGGGTTTTATTCTTGATTTCATGGGGTTCTTTAATATGCTGAATCTAACCGTGTACTTAGTTTTTGGATTTTGGGCCCCGTTTTTAAATTGGTCCACATTGAGGTCCAAAGGGTCCAAAATTAAACTTTGTTTGATTTCATCAAAAATTGAATTATTGGGGTTCTTTGATATGCCGAATCTAACTGTGTATTTAGATTCTTAAATTTTGGTTCCGTTTTCAAATTGGTCTACATTAAGGTCCAAAGGGTCCAAAATTAAACTTAGTTTGATTTTAACAAAAATTGAATTTTTAGGGTTCTTTGATATGCTGAATCTAAACATGTATTTAGATTTTTGATTATGGGCCCAGTTTTCAAGTTGGTCCAAATCGGGGTCCAAAATTAAACTTTGTTTGATTTCAACAAAAATTGAATATATGGGGTTCTTTGATATGCTGAATCTAACCATGTATTTAGATTTTTGATTTTTGGGCCCCGTTATCAACTTTGTCCACATTGAGGTCAAAAGGGTCCAAAATTAAACTTTGTTTGATTTCATCAAAAATTGAATTCTTGGGATTCTTTGATATGCTGAATCTAACCATGTATTTAGATTTTGGATATTGGACCATAATAGGTGAATGTCCAATTTAAAATTTTTAAGTTCTTAGACCACATTCAATCTGTGTTAGAAACCTATGCTGTGTCAAATATTTAATCACAATCCAAATCCAAAGCTGTATCAAGCTTGAATGTTGTGTCCATACTTCCCCCAACTGTTCAGGGTTCGACCTCTGCGGTCGTATCAAGCTGCGCCCTGCGGAGCATTTTATTACACATTGTGACTTGGATGGAGAGTTGTCTCATTGGCACTCATACCACATCTTCTTATTTCTATATACAATGTACTGATTTAAGAATACTTGCAGTAACTGAAAGCTTGTTCAAAGCCAAAAACAACTAATAAAAAAATTATGTATCCAAGCTTAAGACTCACATGACTTATGTAGAAAAAAAGAAATGGCATGTCCACTATAAAAGGTTGCATAGGGGACCAATTAGAAACTTTGCACTTCCTGTGCCCTTGAAATTATGCTCAACAGCCCTGACCACCATTCTACATTGCTATGAAAGAATGAAAGATCGTCACCTGGCCAGTAGACATTTTGTTTCCTCATATTGACCCTGTCTGCTGTCTAAGATGGCAGCCATGTAGTCTGCTTAGCCAAAATGTAATTTAATATCTCTGCCTATATTTAAGAAAAATTGTTATAATGAATAAAAGGAGATCTGGAGTACATGTATACATCTATAAAACATAAACCCAATGACACGGAAGAACCAAAAGACAACATGAGGTCAACATACGGTCTTCAACAATAAACATATGTCAAGATCCAATGTTTTGAATGAATTAAACTGACACTATATTAAAGACCAAACTCCCCTGTTTGCTTATGTAAATCACATATAAACACTGTAGTAATTACCAACATTTGTTAAAATTGGTGTCATTAATTATTACATGTATAAAAAAATAAAAATGTAGTCATTAGTTATTATTTATATAATTACACAGTGTGGTCTGTGGTAAATGGTCAAATTAATTACAGTAAAATCAGTAGTACTTGTATGTCTCAGTCATTTCTTATAAAAAGTCGTTAAACTGTTTTTTTTTTTATATTGTTGACAGCAGAGATCATACAGCCAAGTTTGAAATTTTAAGCACCATCGTTGACTACTAATAGAATTAAATGTACATGTATGAAGGGAAATTAAATAAAAGGGCTGTAAGACTATTTTAACTTTATTTATATTTCAGCACAAATGAATTGTATGAAGAATGAAAGAATTTAAGAAACTCTTCATTCTGAACAATTAAATATTATTATTATTATTTCAATATTGAACAAAGGCTGCTGCCATGCTTAATTCACCCCTATACTGTGAAAGTACTTTTATTCTTGGGTATCTATTCTGTATTACTGTTAAATAGGTAATTTTTTGGAGGGATTTATTTTCAATAATTTTTCAAATAATTAAAGTTGCCGAAAAGTTTCTGTTCCCATTAGTTTATTATTAACAAGATAATCAGAATCACTAACATAAAACAGTAGAAATGAAACCTTGCAAACTCTTGCACTTGAAATTGTGAAATTTAATCTTCTTAAAAAGAAAACCAGTTACTAGTAACAGTTATCTAGATAGCTAGATGCTTCATTAGTCTTGGCAGATTTCTCTGTCCTATTGCTGTTGGAATATGCAGTCAGGAATCTGATGTTCAGTAGTTGTCGTTTGTTGATGTGGTTCATAAGTGTTTCTCGTTTCTCATTTTTTATATAGATTAGACCGTTGGTTTTCCCGTTTGAATGGTTTTTCATTTTTGGGGCCCTTTATAGCTTGCTGTTCGGTGTGAGCCAAGGCTCCGTGTTGAAGACCGTACTTTGACCTATAATGGTTTACTTTTATAAATTTTGACTTGGATGGAGAGTTGTCTCATTGGCACTCATACCACATCTTCTTATATCTATGTAATTCATTATTATTGTTTTCATTTCAGTACTCATCAAAGAACCGGTAGAGAATGACGATATATATGACAAAACTTTGAAAATAACGGACTTTGGTTTAGCAAGAGAGGTATCCAAAACAACTAGGATGAGTGCTGCAGGAACATATGCATGGATGGCACCGGAAGTTATTAAAACTTCTACCTTCTCTAAAAGCAGTGATGTCTGGAGGTAAGAATTATTTACCAATCAGTATTCACTTTAAACTGTCCTTTGCAAATAAAAAGAAATTATTCAGTGTTTCACTAGGATTTATAAGTGAATATGTGATAACAAAATTTTAAATCACTCAAACTACTATATAGAAAGTTATGGTACTGAAACACGTTATATATAAATTAAATACTGTTGGTTTCACTAAAATCACTGTTGAAATTAGCAATAGACTGCTGTTACAGACTGAATTGATTAATTTCAATTTTGTTTAACATACAGTATAGGAATTATCAGCACACTTCAACAATAACTGAAACAAGATTTTATGATATTTTTAAAATGGGGAGGTAACTAAACCCCTTCATCCACAAAAGAAAAAAAATCCACAAACTGGCTCAATTTCAAAACTTTGATAAACATGAAAAAAATCTGTTCTGTGTTCCACAGGAAATTAAAGAGAATTTGTTTTTAGTGTCCAAACTCTTGTAATGAACAGAGGCTTCCAGAAACAAAAACAAAAAAACTTTAGTACAGATCTTAGATATGTCCAACTACTTGTACTCAATAATCATCAAGTATTCCATCAGATATTTCAGTGAAGATTAAGGTTTTCTGTTTTCAAATTTCTATATGTTGGATTGACAGAATTTCAAGGTAATAAAAAGTAAAATAACATAAATACCGAACAAGGAACATTCAAAAGGGAAAGTCCCTTATCAAATGGCAAAATCAAAAGCTCAAACACATCAAACAAATGTAAAACAACTGTCATATTCCTGACTTGGTACAGGCATTTCCTTATGTAGAAAATGGTGGATTAAACCTGGTTTTATAGCTAGCTAAACCTCTCACTTGTATGACAGTCACAGAAAATTTCATCAAATTGACAACAATGTGTGAACAAAACAAACAGACATAATAGGTAAAAGTGTCAAAAATTGGGTCACAGCAGTCAACCTTGTGTTATAATCTTAATCACTATAAAAACAAACAACTTTAAATTATAAAAACAAACAACTTTAAATTTTTTATGGACACAAAACTTTTTATGTCAACCAATTACACTCTGCATGAAGAAAATTTCACAAGTTACAGTCCATTAAATTGTAAACAGTTCGATACTTTTTGTTGAAAAACTCAATGATAAACAAACAGGAATAATAGGTCTCGGACTCTCCCCCTAGAAACATATTTTTTATAAACTGGTAATAAATTGATAATCTTATGATATTTTCAGCTATGGTGTTTTATTATGGGAGTTATTAACAGGAGAAACACCATACAAAGGAATCGATGCTCTTGGTGTAGCTTATGGTGTTGCTGTAAACAAGCTGACACTACCAATACCCTCTACCTGCCCTGGACTCTTCTCCAAGCTCATGTCAGGTAAATATCACAGACAAAGAGTGGAAATATACATGAGCATGTCACATTTTGAATATTCAGAATGACCATTTCGAGGTTACTGGATAGGCCTTTTAGATATAAATCATGAAAAAACCTCACAGATAGCAAACACATAAGCCATTAGCAATGTGATATTGCCTATATTTTCTACATAACCCAAGTTTATCAGACTCATGATGGATAATTATAATATCACATAGATCATAAACATTAAACTGAGATTACCATCATGGATATTAAATATTATAGCTACATGTATAGTATCAATAGGAATCAACACAATCTTTACATATTCATATGTCATATCCAAGTTCTGACAAGTAAAACTTTACAGGCACATATTGCACTGTAACATCTCATAAAAATTGAATGAAAACATGAAATATTTGCCACTGAAAACACACACACAATTATTACTGACATATACATGATTTCGTGTATTTGCCAAAGTCTGCACAGAAGTCTATAGAAAATTGAAATATTGTTTAACAATTAAATTTGTGGTTTACATGTTCATACACCTGAAAAATCCACAAAAAATCTTGGTACCCCAAGAATGATATTGAATCCACAGTACTTATAACGTTTCTTGATATTTTTATTTTATAATAGATTGTTGGCATCAGGAATCCCATCAACGGCCAACGTTTAATGAAATTCTGTCTCGTCTTGCGGACATTGCTGCCTCGCCATTTATGACTACACCTCAGGAGTCTTTTCAAACTATGCAAGAGGACTGGCGACTGGAAATTGAAGCTATGTTTGATGAACTTCGTAGTAAAGAAAAGGTAATTTATCCATTACAAGTATATCAAAATCACCCAAAGCAGGAAAAATCAAAATAGAAAGTAAACTTATCTACTTAATATATTAATATAAGAATAAGAAGATGTGGTATAATTGCCAATGAGACAGTTATCCACCAGAGACAAAATGACATTGATGTTAGCAATTGTAGGTCACTGTACAGCCGTCAACAATAAGCAAAGCCTGTATCTTGTGATAAGCTATAGATAAAAAGTCCTGACATGGCAAAATGTGAAGCAATTCAAATAAGAAAAATAACTGCCTGATTTATGTACAAAACAATTAGCGAAAAGCAAATGTGCTGACAGTGACTAAGGACAGACAGCCACTGAATTACAGGCTCGTGTTTGTCAACTTTTTTTCTCTGCTTTGTAATTCTTTGAATAGGTCCAGTTGAATATCCATCTAGAGAGGAGAAGAAAGTGTTTAATTGCAAAATTGATTTTGGTACTGCTGGAGTTCTGGTTTCAGCTTAATTATTGTTACATTGAAACAGTGCAATAGTTTATGATCCATCATCAATCATTCATAATTCATACCTAAGAAATAGTAGAATTATTTTGAACACCATATATTCACTGTATATTTGATTTCTCGAACAGGAACTCCGTTGTAGAGAGGAAGAACTTACAAAAGCAGCATTACAACAGAAGAAAGTGGAGGAATTGTTACATAAACGAGAGCAAGAGCTTAAAGAAAGAGAAATTGAACTTGTAGAAAGAGAACTTAACATTATGATTTTACAACAGATCATGGGAGCCCCCAAACCAAGAATTAGGAAGGGAAAGTTTAAAAAGAGTCGACTAAAATTAATCAAAGCTGGAGGCCCTGCTATTAGTCAGCCTTCAGGTAATGTGGTTACCCAATTAATGCTGAGTGGTTAAGGCATCCCCAGAAACTGTGTGTTGAGTGGGAAAACACTACTTTATGTAGGGAAATCTGCATGGATTCAGAATTGTCCTAGGAGGTTGATAATTTGTATTTTTTGGAGGTTTGGTGAGAATAAAATAAACTCAGTTTTCAATAGCAATCATGTATAGTTAACTTTTAAACATCTCTAATTGAAGCCTTTGAAAAGAGATGGACTTTTGCTGACAAGAAAGCACTAAGCAACCGCTTGACAAACCTGAAATTGAAATTAAAAGTAAAAACATTAATTAACACTACAAAAGTCATTTGATAATTGAAAAAAAAGACATTCACATTCCAATACCAAGGATCATACAATGAAGCTTTGAATTAAAAAAGAAATGTGACTTTGAAAAAAAGAACAGCAATCTGTTACAACACACAACAATTTGTTTTGTATGCAGAATTTTTAAACACAGACTTAGAATATTATGTCATCAAAATAGAATTTGAAGAAAAATCTGAAAGCAAACAGAGTTTAAGACAGTTGAAGTGAGTCTGTAAGAAATAACATGACATATTCAGAAATAATTGAATTCATAATGTTTGTCATAGAGGACAGGTTTAGAGATAAAAAGATGTATATAAAGAGATGTGTTACATCATAGTTGTCATTTAGAAGAATTTAAAGTTTTTATTTATTGAGTAATAATTTTTTGGCACATAACTAATGTTTATGACTGAAGAGAGACAACTCTTATTAAATTTTAGATCCAACTTAATATTACACTGCATGGAAAGATTTCGATGTACTTTTCTAGAAAAAAATGGTTTATTTTTGTGTATATCTGCATTAACAGTAATTGCAACATAGATCTTTTCTTCAAAATTATATGAATTCACGATTTTGTTTCAGATTTCCGCCATAACATTACAGTACAACATGAATTTCATCCTCCTGCACCATCAAGTCCTGATAGTCATGATAGTCCACCTCAGTCTCCTGCTTATACACCAGCAAGACTTCGTGCAATAGCATGTAAGATTAGCATTTTGTATAAATTGTTATTTTTTAGTCCCCTACCAGCAAAGCAGAAGGGGACTTTAGGTTTGCACTCCATCAGTCGGGCACACTTTTGTTCTTCATGATTGAAACCAGGATATATTTTGACTTAGTTTTTTATGCCCTCGCTGTAGCGAAGGGGGCATTAAGTTTTACCCTTGTCCGACTCTCCGTACGTCTGTACATCTGTACTTCCCAAAATTGGTTTCCATTCTCTAACTTAAGTTTGCCTCAACCAAGTGTTATGAAACTTAAACACAATGCTTATTTCCACAAAACACAGATCAACTTTGAATTTTGGTGGTGTCACTTTTACCGTTCTAGAGTTATGCCCTTTACAAATGATTTTTCGTTTCCGTTCTCTAACTTGAGTTTGCCTCAACCAAATGTTATGAATCTTATACACAATGCTTACTACCACAAAACACAGATCAAGTTTGAATTTCGATGGCGTCACTTTTACTATTAAAGAGTTATGTTCCTTTACAAATGGAAAAATTGCTGAATTTTTCATTTCTGTTCTCTAACTTTAGTTTGCCTCAACCAAACATTATGAATCTTATACATTTGCTAATTACCACAAAACACAGATCAAGTGTGAATTTTGGTGGCGTCACTTTTACCGTTCTAGAGTTATGCCCCTTTACAAATGGAAAATTTGCTGAATTTTTCGTTTCCGTTCTCTTTCTTAAGTTTGCCTCAACCAAATGTTATGAAACTTATTCACAATGCTTATTACCACAAAACTCAGATCAAGTACGAATTTGGGTAGCGTCGCTTTTACTGTTCTTGAGTTAAGTCCCTTTATAACGTTATATGCAAGTGGGGGCATCATCAGTGTCCCATGGACACATTCCCCATTTATTTTGATATAGAAAATATTACAAATTACCGATTAAGTTAGAATTTTGTTCCAGTACAATGAATTTTTAAATGGTATGGGACTATGTATTGCCATGCAATACTCTCAGAATGCTTATTTTAGTAAGTTTGTAAGTAAATATTTTGTAATGTAGTATTTTTGTCTTTCCTGCGACAAAAGTCACAGAATGCGAGACATAGAGATTACTATATATGCTGCAATGATAGTGGTGAAGTAAACAATTTGTATAAAGCTGTATATTTCAGAAGCTTAAAGACCTGGATGCTTCATACCTTGTAGGCAGATACCTTATGTTACAAAGTTTTCGTCTATCTTATGTCCATTGTCCTTGACCTCATTTTCATGGTTCAGTGACTGCTTGAAAAAAAAAATTACTGTTTTTTTGAAATGTGAAAATCTCTCTTATTATGAGAAATAGGATAACTATAGTTGGTTTATAGGTTCCTTGCAAGGCCTTCATTTCTGTCAGGTAGGGTTAACCTGACCTCGGCCTCATTTCATGGATCAGTGATCAAGGTTAAAGTTATGTAATCAAGTCCTTATCTTGGATACTATAAGCAGTAAGTTAACTATATTTGGTGCATAGAATGATTGGAAGGTGTGCATGTCTGTCTGGCAGGGTTCATATTACCTTGACCTCATTTTCATGGTTCATTGGTCAATGTTAAGATTTTGTGCTTTGGTCTGTTTAACAGGTACTTTAAATGATAGGACCACTATATTTGGTGTATGGAATGATTGTAAGGTGTAAACGCCTGTCTGGCAGGGTTCATATTACCTTGACCTCATTTTCATGGTTCATTGGTCAATGTTAAGGTTTTGTGCTTTGATCAGTTTATCCGGTACTATAAGTGATAGGATCACTATATTTGGTGTATGGAATGATTGTTAGGTGTAAATGTCAGTCTGACATGGTTCATCTAACAGTGACTTCATTTTCATGGATCATTGATAATGTTAAGTTTATGTGATACTTGTAGTAAAACCTTCATATTACAGACTTTCAACATGAATTCAATCAAAATATTTAATTGGGATTTAAGAATCCACCAAAATAAAAACCGCCAAAATTTTTCGTATACTTTGTTGCCCCTAAATCGTGAAATTTTACACCCGCTAAAATAACCCGCTATACAGTACTTTATTTGGCCTTTTTAATTTTTAAGGTTCAAGCGTCACTGAGTCTTTTGTAGACAAAATGTTTGTCTGGTGTACAAAATTTTGATCTTGATATCTATGACGAGTTTACTTCAAAGTAAAGCTCAGTTCAGAAGAAGCCTTAAATAATTCAGTTTGTTTATATATTATACAGATCCAGCATCAGAAGGAGTAAAGGGGAGGACATGGGGACCAAGTTCAGTTCAGAAGGAGCGACATCAACGACAATCAATTTACTTTGCTGATGGAAGATGGTCTAAAAGTGCTCCAACTCTGAAGAATATGGGTGGACATTCCAACATCGGAGCTCTCAGAGATTTATGTAATATTTTTATTTATTTAAATAATATTTTGTTCATAACCATGAATATCCTTTTATTTGAATGTCATCTTATTACTAAAAACAGCATGAATTCTTTAATTGAAAATTTATGAACATTTGCTATTGTATGATAAAACAAATAGCAAATCAATCTATTATAAATTTGAGTTACATAAAGTTGTCTACACTTAGGTCCCTTACTTTTGCTGCTGAGATTCAAAATAACATCTCATATACTGTATAGAATAGAAAAACAAAGGATATGGGCTATCCATCCAATGATCCATGACACAAAATCAGTACATGCACAGCAAAAAACACACAAAAAGCAAAGGAACAGCGCTTTTATTGCTGTTCTTCATCTCAAAATCCCAGTGAGGCCTTCAACATGGAGCAAAATAAAGTCTTTTTCAATCGAGAATGTATAAGGCATCAGATTAATTGAAAATACAAATATTGCTATACCAAGGTAATTTGGTTTGTTGAGAAATAAAGATACATGTATGTGTTCTTGTTTTGAAATTCAAGTTCTTTAAATTTATTATTGCGATTTTTGAAGAACGGACATAAATGCGAGATTAATTATTGCGATTTCAGAAAAGCTGCATATTGATATATGCTTCAGATATCAGAATGCGAGTATTTATTATTGGAATACTCATCCAGTCGCATTAATAAAAACCTCACAATAATTTCTGAATTTACAGTATTAAAAAAAAAATTTTTAGCAGAAAAAAGGAGGTCTCTTGATTTTTAACTTGTAATGAATGGGAATGTAAGATTACAAATGAAGCAAAAATAACAAGAACTTGCACAATTAATATATTCTTCAGCACTCTTTTATCTTTTCTAAAAAAAACGAACGTAGTGGTGAAACAGTAGTCATGCTTTTAGTTATGGGGAAATGACTAAATAAAATAACAGTGTACTTGAAGAAAGATTTTAAGAAATGGACTAATGGCTGGTAAGCCTAATTGGTAATATATGAATTAAGATTACATCTACCCACAGAAATAATGAAGATAAAAAATGAAAACACTCATGGAATAATCAGTGTGTGTTACATATTTTTGTACTGTATCTTAAATTACACACTGTAGCTCAGATGGATTTTGTTAATTTCACATGGACTGTGGAAATGACCGAATGCACACAAGCTTTATAAAAATAAGAAGATGTGGTATGATTGCCAATGAGACAACTCACCACCCAGACTAAATGTACTTAATCAGAGGCAGCTTTATCACAAATTTTGATACATGTATGATGTTCATGTAGATGTTTTGAAAAGTTAAGTATGAAAGTTATATGGTAGCTGGTCATGATGAAAAAGTACATATGTTTCACTGCTTAAATAAAACATGCATACAAATGGCCAAACTACAGATTCAGTATCTAGTATGCAAAATACTTACAAAGTAACATCTGCCTCATACTGGTTACTGTGGATTCAGTATGATTTGTGGGATACTCATTGTTACTGTGGATTCAGTATGATTTGAGGGATACTAATTGTTACTGTGGATTCAGTATGATTTGTGGGATACTAATTGTTACTGTGGATTCAGTATGATTTGTGGGATACTAATTGTTACTGTGGATTCAGTATGATTTGTGGGATACTCATTGTTACTGTGGATTCAGTATGATTTGTGGGATACTCATTGTTACTGTGGATTCAGTATGATTTGTGGGATACTCATTGTTACTGTGGATTCAGTATGATTTGTGGGATACTAATTGTTACTGTGGATTCAGTATGATTTTTGGGATACTAATTTTAGTGGATATCGTGGGTTAAAATATTCAGTGTAGTTTGAATTTTCTATAGGCTTGTATGCAGACTTACAAAACCTTGAAATCAAATATCCACAGAATACAAGTATTCCACAGGAAAATTAATACCAACGAAAATAAACAAATCCATAGTAATTGAAAAAAAGATATATTTATCATTAAAATTTTAAATCAGAAATTAGTTTCAGGATTCATATTGCATTTAACCAATCACTTTACATTAATGGTTCTTAACTTTTCAGATGATGATGAAAATGAATGGCCGTCAGACGTGAACGATTCTAAAAAACACATTCCAAATGGTGGAGAAATGAGCAGTTTTAAATTGTCAAGTAAACGGTCTGATAAGTCAGACAAAATAATCGATAGTGCTTTAATGAACATGGCTACTATGTTGTGTTCAGTTGCTATAGGTTATGATTTACGGGTTCCTATTCAGAAAGATGACACGAAAGTGACTCGCAGGAAGAGAGACTCGTATATTGGGAACCGTAGAGATGCTTATAATCAAGCAGTTCGTGACTCGTTTATTGAATCGGATGATGCAGCTGCATATCGTTTTACTTCGGCAGCAGGGTATCCACATAATACATATCATGGATATCAGGTGAAACGGAGACCAAGTTTGAACTTCGATGATCTGCCTTTGCAGTTCAAGGACTTTGCAGAATGTGACAGCCCGTCGACTCTTCAATCTACAAGTACACTTACATCCCAGACTACGGTTCAAAGGAGGTCGTTGTATGGAAGTGATAATGACTCACCTATTCCGGAACGAACCCATAACGTCTTACAACGTCAAACATCAAATAGTAGCAATTATGACACTCCAAAATCTTCTAAAAATAGGCATTCAGTGACGTTTGAGGACGATGTTTTACGTGATGCCAAAAACTTGTCATTTGTAAATACCTCATCACAAGATCAGGGTTCACAAAATTCCAGGAATTCTTCAGAGTATTCTAAGCGTCAGCAAGAACAGAGTGATCCCGCTCCACCTATACCTCCAAGGAGAAAACCTAACGGTGAAACCCCCGAGAGGCCAAAAACCTTAGACATGGGGCCACGCAATAGGCCCACTCTTACACGATATTCTGCCACACAGCCAATGTTTAATGGGAAGAAAGATTCTCCACAAAGTTCAGGTGACCTAGTTTCCAGTTCTGATACTACACCGTACTTCTCTACAAGATCGAGTTTGTCACCTGGTCACACCCCACCTCATATTGCCCATCAGACCACACTGCTAGATATTGACGTAGACGGCCAGAGTCAGGATGGTACTAGACCATTATTGCATGGCCATAAATTTACAATATCTGATAACGATGTACTTTACTGAACAAAACCAGTTTCAGGGCAACTCTGAATATGTTTTTTTTTTAAACTTGATTGCTGTATTCTTACCTCCTCCTAAAAATTTGCCTTACTAAAAAAAACAACTGTTTACCATTTTTTACCAAGAAAATTTCATATTCATATTCACTATTTTTTTACTGGATTTAAAATTTTCAAACTATGCAGTATATTAATTTCCCTACCAAATTTTATTAAACAAATTAACAAAATTGAGATACAGCAAACAAAGAATTTTTAAAAATTGCTTGCATTTTATGTGATATTTATTGCATTATGTATATTTCTTTTTGGCCTTAATTTAGTTCCATTTACCAAAAATTGTTAAATCAGTAAGTTAACATATTGTACTTTCAGCGGCTTTTCTTTTTTGTCTTCTCATAACATTTCATTAAAAAAGATCCAAATAATTACCAGCTGTATTGAGTTTTTTTTTATATTCATTGTAACTATATCACCCCATTTTTTCACCTGATCAACAGTGGCTTAAATAACTGCATACAAATAGACAATCTGTAAAAGGAAAGGACTACCATGTAATGATATATAGATTCTCTAATTTTCATGCTTTTTTCACATTTTTGGATTGGTGTGAGAAAATATTTCTCATCTGTAGAGAAAACTTTGTTTGGTTGAAATTCAATTATGACGTCAAATTTCCTAGGTTTCTTCTGAATTTCCTATTGTGATGTCATAAAAAAAGGCAACCATGCTTGATACGTCACATTTAAATAACACAACTTTCTGCAAATCTTTGAAAAGGAAGGATAAACTTTGTTTAGATATAGCCTAAAAATCATTAGAGAAAGAGATTCCACCATTATATATCGTGTATTACGATATTTCTCTACTCTCTACTGTTAAATTTTAATTATTTAAAAAGCTTGGCAAGACTCACGCTTTAAATATTAAAATTTAACTGTCTCGAGCGGAGAAATATCATAACACACTTGATGCAGTGGTAGAATCTATATTTCTACCACTGCATAGAGTGTGTTTCAGTAGTTCTCAACTTCAGATGGTTAGATATTTTAATTTTAACTGTCGAATTATTCAATTATTGTGTGAATACTATTCTTAAGATAGAAATGCATTTACTATGCAGCCATTTAAGCCGTAGTAAATCAGGTGAAAATTATTCAATAATAACCACATCCTAGATTTTACAAATTATAATGGGAAAATTCAAATGTAAGAGAAACATTTTACTTCACTAGTAGACATTATAACTAGTTCACAGTATACTGAACATCACAAGTGAAGCATCATATCCTTGCAGTTACACTGTTTTCATTTCCTACCTTTTTGGGGGGAGGGAATTTAGAAATTAATTTTTGACAGAATTTTAATGCTATTGTTCCAGTAACAGTGCTTCAAAATTTTTGGCCAAACTTTATTATAATTTTATGTTAAATGTTCTACTGAATAAATGAATTGAGTTGTTGCATGTCTTCTGTTGTTTAAAATAGAAAATGAAAAATTTTAAATGTATAATTCATCTTTATCACTCATGTACAATGTTGATGCTTTTTATCCACCGAAGTCTGAAAATATAAATGATAAGCTCTTCATTGACCATTTTCAGCAAAGGTGAAAGTTCATAAATGCCTTATTTTGGCCCTAAAATCAAAGTCTTTAGAATTCTAATTAGATATTCCAATTGTTCAAAGATATATAACCCACTACTTTCTTTTATCTGTATTTGATAAAATGATCCAATTTTATGCAGGAAAAGTAGCATTAGAAACTGCACTCAATATAATTTTTTTATCGCAAACTACATTTTTTTCAGAGTTGATCTGAACGGACTTGTGATATGTACAGTTTTTTTTTGTATATTTTAATTGCTATTAAATCAAAGAATTTGAATTAAGTTTATGGAAGGCCATTTTAAGAACAAAAATATTTTTGTTATTTGTTATATATACTATTTGTACTAAAGTGTATTTGTAAAAAAAAGATAAAAAGTGAATGTTATTTATATATATTGTGTATTTTTGTTATGTATGTAGATAATGGTCACTGATATATTCACAATTCTATTTTTTATTACATATAGATAAGAACTAGGATGAGTGAATATTTGTGACGACAACCTGGGTAAAATAAATCTGACATCACAAAATGAAATCCATACAATGGTGCAGTGCTAAACTAGTCATTGATTCATATTACTGTCTGTCTTCATTGATTCAAGGAATTTGATTGGGCGATTACTGTCTGTCTTTATTGAGTGAAGGGATTTGATTGGTCGATTGATGTCTGTCTTCATTGAGTGAAGGGATTTGATTAGTCAATTACTGTCTATCTTCATTCTATCTTCATTGAACGAAGGGATTTGATTGGTACACTTGTAAATCTAACAGTTGTCATTGTTACAGATCAAAATTAAATTTACATAAACTGATACTTCTAGTGAAATTGATCAACATAAATTTAAATCCTTTCTTTTAAGTAATTTATCAATCATTCATTTATAGCCCTTCTTTTATTGAACCATTCCATTTAAAAGATAATTTTTTTTTAAATGTTTTTTTTTAAGAAAGGTTTTCATTAAATTAAGAAAATGCTAATATCAGATGTGATTTCATCACATTTCAAGATTTGACCAAGACATCATTAAAATGGTGTAATATGAAAAAAATTGCCACAATAAAAACTAGATCTAGAAGTTGACAAAAAAGAGCACTTTGGATAGATTAACATACAAAGAGCACAGTTGTCATTCAAAACAGTCTAGTATGATTGGACATAGAATTATCAGGAATTGGTTTTTAATACCAATGAAATGCATAAAAATCTTTTGCAGTTTTGCCCTTATTTCAGCTAAAAATTCATACATTCTGTGAAATCTGATAAAGCAGTTTATATATTCAATATTGTCTCATTGAAATTTTTTTCTATAAAGCATAAGGATAAAATGTTTATTTGCAGAAAAGATAACGTACTTTTCACCAACAAACCATTAACATTAAACCAGTTGATCTGATTGTTACCATGGTTACATAAGGAAATGTTTGATCTGATGTAAATAGTATTGAGTTCAGCATAATATCATTGTCAGATTTATGTTACTTGGGGTAGGTGCAATACTCAAATTTTAGTTATGTTGCTGAATATAGAATTTATATGGCTAGTAGATGGTAGGTCATAATATTATCATCAAGCTCCTTTATAATTCAAAGAATTTTACGAACAAGAAAAGAAGATAATTTGACCTAGACCCTTGTATTTTTATTCACTAATGTATTATTTTATTTAACGGAGACTAATTTTTTTGGTTCAGTTTTGTACATTTTATTTGGAAGTTTCATGTATGGTAGACATGGTAGATGAAAGCATATGTTGATTTTCTTATGTAAACTTTTATTTTGTTTGTAATATCCCAATTATTGGCCTATATGTAAGGTATTTTTGTCACAATTTTGATTTATTTCATTTCTTTAAAAAAAAAGAAGAATTATGAACTTAAGAGAGAACTTTTTTTTTCCTCTTGTTATATATTCACTATTTTATTGTTGACTTGAATTTAGTCAGTAGATGGAAATATTATGACCTTCTCTTGTGCTTATTATTATGTAAATGGTATCTACTTAATTTAGTAGGCAGTAACTGTGATTTAAAAACACCAAACAACTTTCAGGAGTGATGTATACTAAGGTGGCTTATTTGTGATTACAGTGGATAACTTTTAGGGTAGTGAGTGATTTTGACTATTTAAGATGGCTGCTCCAACATCTATTGATTAAGTAGTGTCAGTGGTTTATACCTGGGAGGGGAGGGGAGGGGTAGGGCCTCTACTACAAAAACCTTATAAGATAATTGATTGTAATTTGTAATGAAATGGTATGAATTTTTTTTCTCATTTGAATTTTTATTAAGACAACAACTGAAATTTTGAACCCTAGATCTTCAAATGTGATCACTGATTTATGAGTATATTGTTAAGTAAGCAGATCGAAGATATACATTAAGACTTATTACCAAATTTCTTAATCCACTTGTTCAAATTTACTATAAACAGAACAAAATTTCGTAATTGTATATATACAGAATTTTATGGAGTTTTTAACAATAGGTGAACAATTTTTATATTTATAGTTTCTTTATATTATGAATTAATTTTTAGTCAATAAATTTTGATCTGAACAAAACTGAAGATGATAAAAATAGAAATGTTCTAAATATGCATGCAATATTTACCAATGATCAGCAATAATCAATCATTAGAATTTAGGAAGAAGTGCAGAAATTGCTAATATAAAAAATCAAAGAGTCCTTCAAGTTTTTTGATAGAATCTAGTGTCAGAGTCAAATCAAAAGTTTCAATTTGAAAGTGTTAAAAAAAAAATAGTGATCTAAATCTTGCTAACTACTTTTTGCATATCTTTGTACTTAATGTAATATTTTATCATATAATTATTTGAATATTTATAAATCGTCTCCTAATAAATGCTGGAAGATTGGAACTTTTATGTCATTTACAAGTCTCTCACATATCACCGAGTGATAATTTATAGTTAGTATAACAAAAATGAAATGTATTTCCCCAACCAAGATTTTACTTCCTGTTTTTTGGTCTGACTGAATTGTCAATGTTAGTCCCAAAAGAGAAAAACAGGGTTTTGGTTTATTTTTTGTAATAATCATATATATATATATCTAAAAAATACATTAGTATGTTAGCTTTCAGTAGAATATATTCTGAAATATATGATTGAACACTGTGAATTCATATATCTCCTAGGTACCAATTTTTCGTGGATACATGATTTTTATGGTTTTGCCAAAATCTGCATTAAACCCTAGAGAAAAATTGTACTTCATTGAACACTTAAATATGTTGTTAACCTATATCAACAAAAACCACGAAAAATGGTACCCCACGAAATAATTATGAATCAACAGTACTGCATTTTGTAGGTATTGTGTAAAGAATGGAAAAGTATAAGATTTAGTGATAAATGTATTGCAATGTTGTTTGGTGTTTTATTGATAAGCATTTATATTTTATTTAATAGATCTAACGCTGTTGTATATGCTTATTTTTATTTTATATGAATTAATATAACAGTAAAAACACAATATATTTCTGTCATCACAAAATGAAGTGTATTGATTTATGTGGAATGGTTTATTTCTGAGGAAATGACCAAAAATAAAAACTACAACAGATTTATCTTTGTTTGTCAGGATCTATTCTTTCATCAAATTTTGTATCTTTGTCTTTATCATTTTGGTTAGATTGTGATGTTAGATGTTTGGGCAAGCTGAGTGGGAAAATGCACAAACATTAATTTAACTCAACTCCTTCTACAGTTTTCAACTCAGATCCTTGAAACATCACAGATAGGTTGCACACATATTGAAGCTGTCCAACTGCTACATTGTATAATGGAATAGCTTGAGGAATTTTTTCCCCATTTTTCCAACCTTGGGATCTTCAGTCATTTTTCAGCAAAATTTACAAAAGACAGTACCTATTTAGTATTTTGTGTAATCAACTTTGAAACATCACAGAAAGATTGCAAACATATTAAGTTGTCCACCTCCTATGATGGAATTGTTTGAGGACTTTTTCTCTCGTTTTTTCATACTTAAGGATTTCTTTCATTGGATTTCATAATGTTTAAACTAGATGTGTTGGTAAGCTATCAATGCCCCTGTGTGGAATTGTTAAAAGTTCATTTCTCAGAATTCATATGAATTGTGAGGTGTACCAGGGACATGCACTGTCGACACTGTGTTCATAGGTGTATAGTGTGGCTTAATATGTACATGTATTTGTTATATGGGGAAAGTCACTCAACCTGAACTACAACAAAGCTGAAGATCTGCAAGCATATAAAACTAGAGCCTATGTCGCTCACCTAGGTCTATGCGCATTTTCAACAATGGACACTCTCCAACATTGTAGAATAGAATATAATTCATGACTAAATTTCTCTTTATGTTTTATTTATTGCTGAAATTTTTTTTGTTTACAGTTTCTATCTTCTAGTTTCTGGTCAAAACACACAGAATGGTAAAAATAATCATTTAAAGACAATAACTCCTATTAGAAGACAACTATCAATTTCATCCATGCTGACCGATGTGTTGTCTTGCTGATCATTTTTGTCGAGCCTGCGACTTTTGTCGCAGAAAGCTAGACATAGGGATAGTGATCCAGCGGCGACGGCGTTAGCTAACTTTTTAAAAGCTTTATATTTTAGAAGGTGGAAGACCTGGATGCTTCATACTTTGTATATAGATGCCTCATGTTACGAAGTTTCCGTCAGTCACATGTCCAATGTCCTTGACCTCATTTTCATGGTTCAGTGACTACTTGAAAAAAAAGTTAAAATTTTTTGTAATGTTAAATTCTCTCTTATTATAAGTAATAGGATAACTATATTTTTGGTATGTGCGTACCTTACAAGGTCCTCATACCTGTCAGACAATTTTCACTTGACCTCGACCTCATTTCATGGATCAGTGAACAAGGTTAAGTTTTGGTGGTCAAGTTCATATCTCAGATACTATAAGCAATAGGTCTAGTATATTCGGTTTATGGAAGGACTGTAAGGTGTACATGTCCAACTGGCAGGTGTCATCTGACCTTGACCTCATTTTCATGGTTCAGTGGTTATAGTTAAGTTTTTGTGTTTTGATCTGTTTTTCTTATACTGTATGCAATAGGTCTACTATATTTGGTGTATGGAATGATTGTAAGGTGTACATGTCTAGCTGGCAGGTTTCATCTGACCTTGACCTCATTTTCATGGTTCAGTGGTCAAAGTTAAGTTTTTGAGTTTTGGTCTTTTTTTCTAATACTATATGCAATAGGTCAACTATATTTGGTATATGGAAATATTTTATGATCTATATGTCGGTAGCACAGGTTTTATTTGACCTTGACCTCATTTTCACGGTTCATTGCTCAGTGTTAAGTTTTTGTGTTATGGTCTGTTTTTCTTTAACAATAAGCAATAGGTCAACTATATTTGTTGTATGGAAGAATTGTTAGCTGTACATGTCTGCCTGGCATGGTTCATCTGACCTTGACCTCATTTTCATGGTTCATTGGTCAATGTTTAGTTTTTTGGTTAATGTTAAGTTTATGTGACAGTTGTAATAAAGCTTTATATTTAGGACTATCAACATAATATCAATGATTAATAAAGAAGGCGAGACATTTCAGCGTGTGCACTCTTGTTGCTTTTTGAAGTTTCTATTGATCTATTATAGTTTTCAAGATATTATGCAAAAATGCAAACAATTGAAAATCAATATTAAAGGTCAATAACTCTAAAAAGGAGTTCTGACTTATTTGTAGGTCTTGTCTTGCTGATCATTTTTGGAATTTAAAAGTTTCTATCTATGATAGTTTTCAAGATAAAAGGCAAAAAATGAAAAAAATAATTGGAAAATTTCGTCATTTAAGGGCAATAACTCCTATTAGAAGTCGTCCGACAGTTTTGATAAACAGTAGGTAGATAATCTTCATTTTAATGGAACCATCTCATGAATAATTTTACAAAAGAAATTTGCTGTGCAATTTTATTCATTCCATACATTTATTAGCAAAACAGACTTAACAAATTTAGAAAAGATTCTTACAAGTGACTATAATGATGTAAAAAATGAGCTGCATCGAATAGAAATCACCCTTATGCAAGTGCACGTATAAATGTTCATGTATAAGACTTTGATTGATTTGGGAACATTCAAATACGAATTATGAGATGAATTTGGGTCTGTTTTGTAGGGTTCTTATATCAACTCAATTTTCAACAGTTACAGACTTTGCATAAAGATTTTTTCAACCCGAAATAGGTTAACAGATGTATTGATATTCATATGCATAAGATCGATTTTTATCTGACACAGCTCATATGATATTTGCAATGAATATAAAATATGAATGAAAGGAGATATGTGTTTTATGACAATGTGAAAATTACAAAAACATGAATGTACTATGGCAATATTTCATAGCAAATTTAATTCATACATGAACATAAATTTTATCATACAAATTTTTACATGAATCTCAGCACTACTGAAGCCAGAAACTGCCTGCAATAATATAATACAAGTAATTCCATTTCTTGGGCAGTATAACTGGTTCCCTGCAATCATGAGAGACCAATAGTAGGATGCAGACCTTCTCTGGGTTTTTTTTCTTGTCAAATTTCAGTTATATAAAATTAATTACTTAACTACTTTTAAGAACTCTTAATAGCCATACTACCATCCAGACTTAGTTATAAAGCTAAAAATATTTAAAATTGAAGTAAAAGCAATAATATGTATGCTTTTCTTACTAGTGCTGCCCTTTCAATTGCAGGAAACTAGTAACATTTCAAGGGAAGGGGAATAACTCTTATCAATTTATAATTAAAGAATCAATTTCTAGTGTTGGTTCCAACCATTTACAATTACCATACGATTGCCATTGATAGGTCTTTCCATGACCCAATTTACCAAAAATTACTGTATGTTGCTTTCCCAACTTTGTTTGAAATGCACAAAAATTATATTACAAATAAATGAGGATCATTTACAATATTCAACAAATTCAATGGTTTGTGTCAGAAATTCTTGAAAAGTTTTTGAACAGATATATCATGTTATGGAGGGGTATATGCGGAAAATACCAGTCATGGGACTGTAAAATTTCCCGAGCCGCTAGGCGATGGAAATTCGATCCCAAGACTGGTATTTTTCGCAAATACCCCTTCATAACATGATATATCTGTTTAATTACACTGAATAGATTTGGATTGAAACTAATTAACATGTTTATGCATAATTTTGAGGATAAGAGGATATTATCATAGAACCGCGGGAATTATACATGTACTAATACGCATTAGCTCGCTTTTTTATGTAACGCCATTACCCAAAAATTTTTGGCGGGAAAATGCTCAAGAGGGTAAAAAAGGAATATCCAAAATGGCAAATACCATAGTATTTGAGGCAAATTCACCGGCAGTGGTGAAAAACAGGCAAATTTGTTTGAAATGAGGAAAAAATATTAGAATATGCGAAAAATAAACATGCTATCAACCAATCAAAATCTGGCTTTCTTATATAAGGTGTAATTATACATTTTATTCAACCTGTAACCCATGTCAAATACTGGGTGGCATCAAATTTTTTATTCTTGCAGTGTCTACAAAGCAAACATCCTTTTAAAGTCACCCTTCTAACAAGAAACAAACTGATGACAAAGAGCTTTATGCTCATGCAATTGTAACAAGTGAGCTATATGAGATCCAATATATGACTATTGCCTTGACCTTGACCTGTATCGTGATCTGCTTTCAGACCTTGACCTACTCTTTGACCTAGAAGCAGATTTATTTGTGTGTTTATGTTTGTGTTTCTTGTGTTTTTTCTTCTTTTTCACTTTACTTCTTCCTCTATGGCCATTATCTTTGATATCTTCTTTTTCTTCTTCATTTAGATCATCAAGTTCATCTGATTCATCTGGTTTTTCTTCTAGCCTACTGCAAAATAAAACAAATTTACCAAATTTACTAACACTAACCAGATTCTTGAATATTGGTACAGTCTTCATGTTTTATAAACTTTAGGTGTCAGACCACCAATTCACTCCCTCCAATTTAGAATGTATGTAAATGTAGCCATACTCTCTTATACAAAATAGTGCTTTTGATGTCATTGTTTACTTAAACTAACTAACAAATTTGCAGAAATGAAACTTTTGGTGAAAGAGAAATATATTTAGACCATTTTGAGCCAGAATTTACTTGTCTATGAGTTTGCATTAAAAATTGAGGATTAATGCGCTCCATAGTATACTAATTTAAGATTTTCAGAAAACCAGGGGTTATTTTTATTAGTACTTGGCTTCTGAAAGTCAGTTCTTTCTTAGAAGACTTTAAACATGGGATGAAAATTGGCATGTAGAAAGGTGATACACGTACAATTCCGGGTATATCCGGTTTCTATGAAGTTAAACTTAAGGTAAAATATTGAGAAAGCTGTGAAAATTGCAAAATTTGGTTGAATAGATAGGGATTTTGAATTGGTGGTCTAACACCTATAGTATCAAAAGAAAGATCATTCTTCTCATTGTGCTGATCTGTGCATTAATAGGAACATTGACTGTCCTTGAACACCATGCCTTACAATGACTGACACAATAAAACAACATGATTATCCAGTTCAACCTCTGAATAGATGCATTGTTCTCCACTGTTACAGAGAAATTTCTATATGCCATTGCTATATTGTAGCAAAGTTTATATGATTGACAGAGAGATATGTCCTTTATATATAAAATTTAAATTGTCCGATATATAAGTATGGCAAAGCTAGAAATCTGATAAAGAAACAACTTTGAAGATGAAACTCTGTTTAAGATTTTTTGAAAGTATCGTCAAATAGAAAGTCACTGCATAGCAAATATGACAATATCTTACATGGTGCAACTCAACATTTTATTTTTACAACATATGATCTAGACTGGCAAAAGGGATGGGGGGTTATTGAGCGAATAAAACTGGTCTATCACCGCCACACTTTTTTTGCTCGTACCAAGGTAGGCTATCTGGACCCTGTCTTGTTTTTTGTTGTTTAAACTATTTTAGGAGGAGTTGGTGGTTGGTGTGGTTTTTTGAGCTGTCCAAAGTTTTTGGTAATTCCTATTAGCCTTTTAAGGTATGATTATAAAGTACCAGACGTATCAAATCATTTACCTTGGTGCTGATTCAGCTTCTTCTTGTCTCAACATGGCTACATATTCTGTCTGATTTTCTATCACTTCTCTGATGATCTAAATAAACAAATCAAACTACATTATGGTGGTCAATATTTTTGAGATGATTTACATAATTAAGAATCCTTTTAAGGAAGTTCGCTACTCAGTTTTAAAATAACAAGCTTTTCATAACACTAGTATATATTGACAGGGGATTAATAAAGGAACCAAAAGAGGGAAAAAAAAAATATAGGTCCGTGTGCTTGTTTTCGAGATACTAGCCATTGAAATTTTGGCGGGAAAATGTTCTCTCTTGATTGTTCATAGCTTTATCTTTGACAAGTTTAAGTTCTCAAAAACTATTAAAAAATAACAAAGATTTTATATGACTTTTACAGATGGCTTATAATTATACATGTAAAAGATTTATAAAAAGAAAAATGGGGGTTAGTGGGCAAAATTTTATAAGCTTTCAAATGGATGAAACCAGAGGATTCTGAAAATCTGACAAAAATTCCAAAACATGACAAGTGAACATCCTTAATACAGTGATTGGTTAGAAAAAGCAGGAAACAAAACAATGGAATGAATTACAAAAAGTGTGTGAACTGAGAAGGTATTATTTCAAAACCAATGTTCAAACATTTAAAGAATGATTAGGATTAAACTCATTTTCCCCTAAATTAATTGACGCATCCACTGGAGCAATTTACTCATAAATAAGGAAATTCAACTTTCAGATATTCTCTACAGTATATTTAATCAGTGCAATAATTTCTGGTATTTTGAGCAGCCTACATAAGTGCTTTAATAATTATTTCTTATTGAATTTATAAAGCAATGATTATATATCCACAATTCATTCTGATATTAAAATTGCAAAAAATCCAAATTCCATGAATACATTTTTCTATCTCTATATCCTCCATTTCTTTCTCAGAGGGAAACCAATGAAGATTTGTAATGTTTCATGATATAGTCTTGAATACAGCTAATCTTAATGCAGAAGAGCTAATATAAATGCAGAAGAGCAAATATTTTTTTGCAGTTTTTTTTTTTAATTATGAAAATACTCTTTACTACTAACCTAAGTTTAGGATTTCTTTATGACCATAACATGCCACTTATCTAAGTGTAAGATTTCTTTGTTATGTGAACATTCTTTGCCGAAAACATTTACTTCAGTGTAAGGTTTTGTTGTCACAGAACACACATTCTTTCTTGTCCAAGACTCAATTTGAACAGACTTTCTTTTTGACCTGTTGGGTTATTTAACATTATTTATCCCCTATAGCATACCTCAGTGTAAGATTTCCTTGTAATATGTACATTCTGTCCCCTGTTGGACTATTACCCTGCTGTAGGATTAAACAACATTATTCACCCTGATAGGACATACCTCGGTGTAAGATTTCCTTGTAATATGTACATTCTTTGCCCTGTAAGATTGTCTCCTACGTTTATAATCTCTTTGTTGTGCCAAATATTCCATATAACTTTTAGGTTTGTTTCTGTCCACTGAAAACAAGGTTTTTACAATTAAAAATAAAGTATACAGTCCAAAGATTTTTTTTTGTTCAGATTAAAGAATTATTTAAAAAAACTGCTTAAATAGGTTAGATTTTGATATAAAAAGAAAAGAGTTTTTGATAATAAAAAAAAAATCAGCTCATTTCGTTTAATTTACATTGATTTAAACCTTTAAACCTTAAATTAAAAAATTTCCTCAAAGATAATTTTTTTCATATTCAAAAAGAAGTTGTATGAAGGTGACATCTGATTATAAATTATGAATAAATTTAACAGAAGACAAACAATTTGTCTTTTAACATAAATTTTTTAAAAGATCTTTTTTACTTTTCATTTCAAAAAGTCCCTAACACTAGTATTCATCAAGAACTCTTTTAATATATAAGTTTTTTCCCTCTTAAAACATATCCCCAGTTTGGAGGGGTTATATACCCACAGATAGAAGAAGTATTTCTACATTCAAATAAATTTACTACTCACATGCATCTTTTTGCTTCACCATTTCTTGTAAATCAGTCGATAAGAACTGGTCAGATTCATGTCTGTTAAGTCTCCTCTCATTTTTAGCTTTCTCCACTACATAGTCATGAATAGCTGCCCTCTCAGCTGGTGTCAACTGAACTGTCACCTCATTTGGTGTCAAAGGTACTTTATCTTGTGCAAAAAATACTGAACAAAAATAAAACAGAAAGTTAATCACTGAAAAATTACATCAAAGATTAATATTTTCCAATTTTCCCCTCATTTATACCTTTCAGCTTATAAGTAGATTGACTTGGCTTCCAAGTGATAGTAATTGTGCATTTTAATGATTGATTGATTGATTTGTGTTTAATGCCACTTTCAACACCATTGTGCTATTTCGTGGCGGTCAGTTTTTATTGCATTATTATGTGTTTGTACACTGATTTGCTATTTTTAAACTCATAAAGCATTTTGATTTTCATTAAGATGTTGCTTTGTTTGTTTCGATTCTAATTCTTACTAAAAACAGTTATCTGGGTCAATGTTCCTAATGAGTCTCAAAGTAAGGGACAATTGTCATGATATTGAGCATGCTGATATTTCAGTGATTTGACTTAACTTTGCTGAGAAATATAATAAAGAACAAAAAAAAACTACGAAGTTATTAATGTTTGCAAAGAACTGAATTTCAAGATAAATTCGTTTTGTGGAAACTGAATTTTTTACTTTGAGAAGCCGCATCATAAAGGGCTTTTTGTGTTGCGCTAGATTGTGGAAACAAAATTCTTATATGGTACTTCAAAAATTAAACCACATGTGTGAAAATGTCTTAGCTTCTAAATAAACTATCACACATAAAATTACAATATAGACAGAGGAATTAAAGAAAATTTAACCCATCCAACTGCATACCTGAAAAAGATTGCACATATTGACCTATTTATAAAAGATACATGCAGTGTTGTTCCTTTAGATTTAAATTGGACTCTTCTTTGCTTAAGTCATTATTTCTCTCATCCAATCATTTTTTTAATTAATATTTGTATCACTGATGTTTTTAAACAGTTCTAAAGATCAGTTGATATTGTATAATATAATGAGTATACATACTTGAATGATTCTGTACATGGTGGTCTCTCAAAACTCTGTTCATTGTTTCTCTATCTGAAATATAGTAAAAGAAGTTCTGAAGGAACAGTTTTCTGGTGGTTGAGGAACTGATTGATTGTTATTATTTTGAGATGATGAGCAGCAATAAAAGTTCTATTCCCATTGCTTGTATCAATTCATACACTCCATTCTTTTCAATTGATGGTTAATAAAACAGTTTCCAGGCTCCAGAGAAATATAAAATTTATAATTTGCTATTCTAGAATATAATGGACTATGAGTAACTTTATTGTTCATACCCCAAAATGAAAATAACCTCACATCATATGTTGAATTTCCAATATTGTCAATTCATTATTTTTTATTATTATACTTACATATATTATAAACAATTCTATTGGGTATCACGTTATCACGTGACACGGAATAATTAGGGCCCTATCCGAATGGCGGACGCCCTATAGTGATCAGTCTGTCCGTCCGTCCTTAACAAATTGTGTCCGCTCTATATCTAGAGAACCGTCAGGATTTCAAAGTTTATACTTGACATATATATTAACCAACACCAGAGGGTGTGTCATAATTTATGTACAACTTCCTAGGTCAAAGGTCAAGGTCATAAACTTCGGTTTCAGTTGACAACCCCATGTCCAATGATAAAGATACAAATTTTTTACCACACATTATTCACAGCGGGGCCCACAGAGATGGCTCTCATCTCAATGATATCTAGTTCAGTTAATTTTCATTTGCAAGGAGGGACGAATAACCCTAAAAATTTACACCAGCGGAGAATAACCATATAATTCACCGATGAATAACCTTTTGAGTTTCTTGATTTGTACACAAGTTATCTCCCATGAAAATGATGTCACAGACGTAAGTAAACAAAATGGCAACGTTCAACTTCAAGTAACAGGAAGCCCATCAAGTGACGAGGAAACAAGGCTTTGGAAATACATCTAGTGCCGAGGATATCTCTTATAAACAGTCCTTTTCAGGGCCATCAATATTCCTCAAAAAAGATTCTACTTTTGTTGTACATATGAGAAATTCTAAGACACAAATTTATTTTTGAACGTTTACTTGTGTTTGTTACGATACAGTAGGTTACATGCTTTTTCAATGTTTCAAAAGGCCCTTCCACTGTTAGATCGGTATAATAAAACAATTGTGGCCCCTTAGAAGCAATGAATATCCAAAATTGTGAACCCTAAAAAATTATTTCACTTCAGGCTGCTCCCTCAGTGAAATAACCTTTTCGTGTTGACAATTTTGCATATTCACCTTCTCTACGGGCCATAATTGTATATTGTACACTAAGTTATCTAAAAAATCTGTTCTTATACTTAGAGATAAACTTTAGAAATAAACTAGCAATCTAGATTAATAAATTAATCAATGAAGTTGAGATTAGGCCAACTAAGATAACGAGTTATATTCAAGGGGAGATAATTAAAACAGAAATTATATTTTTACAATATTTGTGTTAAATTTAACTCTTGATAGCTATATATATGTTATTGTTTTATATACTAAAGAAATGAATAAAGGGAAGTAGTGGTATTGATCAATATATCTGTAATTACCATGGTGACTTATATTTATAAATAAATTTTCTGTGCATTACATTTGTGCGTAAAATCATTACGTTTTCATGCAGCTTTTGATAATATTTGCGCCCATTCATTATACAGGTAAATTAAGGTTTACACAAGTAAATTATACTTATTCATTTATTTATTTACTTATTTTTTACAATAACCTCTCTCGTGAGTCTATGTGCCGTGCTCACTTACGAGGAGGTGGAAGTGTGATTTCGAGCAGGATAAGTTCATTTTATTATGCACAATCACCAAGCCTTAGAGATGCAAATCTGAAGAGTAAAAGTACCTATTTTACATGTCGGAACAAGCTGAATATTTGAAGCTCACTGCTTTAAGAAAATGAATTTGCCCAACTTCTCCTTTCTTAAATTTTCGGAATTGCTCAATCAGATACCGGTACTCTGTTTTTTCATTCACACTTCTACATACAACTGCTACTGCTAGTGTTAATTTTAAAATACTGTCATGAAACACAAAATTACATGAGTGAGCTGAAAAAAATTCTCATTGTAGTGAGCATGGAATGATTTCGGACCATTTGTAGAAATTCAATATGAAAAATATATATAATTTAAAATTATAAATATTTTCAAAATTAATAACTATCATCATACTTATTTATTAATTATCTTTATATTTAGCTGTTCTACCTTAAAAAAGAATGTGCGCAAATGCAATCAAAAGCTGTGCACAAACTTAAACTAGAGGCCCTTTAGGCTCTAAAGAGCCTGTGTAGCTCACCTGCATCTTCAACAATGGCCACATTTTAGAAGAAAACATCATTAAAGGGTATTACCTCAATTAAGACTTAACTGGCAATTTCAGTCAATTTTTCCTTTTTAAAGTTTCTATTTATCTATCATAGTTTTCAAAATAATAGGCAAAAAATGCAAAAAAATGTAAAAAATTATCACTAAAGGGCAATAACTCTAATAACGAGTTTGGCTTATTTGTGGATCTTTGCTGATCATTGTTCTATTTAAAGTTTCTATCTATCTATTAAAGTTTTCAAAATAGGCGAAAATGGGAAAAATCTTCATTAAAGGGCAATAACTTCGATAAGGACCCAAATAACAATTTTGGTCATGTTGACTTATTTGTAGAACAAATGATCTCAAAAGTTTATATCTATCTAATAAAGTTTTTAAGATATAAAGAATGGAAAAAAATCGTCATTTTTGGGCAATAACTCTAATAAGGAGTAAACTGAAGATTTCAGTCATGTTAACTTATTTGTAGAGCTTGTCTTGCTGATCATTTTTGTATTTTAAAGTCACTGTCCATCTACTGTGGATTCATTTATTTTGTGGGTACCAATTTTTGTGGATTGAGGAAAAATTGTATTTTCATTGATATTTGATTTTGTGGTTTTGCCAAAGTCTGCATACAATAGACTAGAGAAAATTTGTACTTCAACGAACCTTAAAATTCTTGGTTCACCTATTCCCATGAATTCAACAAAACTGGTATCCCATGAATAATAATGAATCCACAGTATTATAATTTTTCGAGATAATAGGCAAAATTTTTATGAAATGGTAAAATTCACAATTTAAGGGCAATAACTCCTATAAGAAGTCATCTGACAGTTTTGATGTAAATGAACATTTAGTACAGCACAATTCTTAACATGTTTGCTCCCATCAGATTTTCTCTATTTATAGCAGTTTTCAAAATAATAGGCAAAACTTGCATTTTACCCCTAGGTTCTATTTTTAGCCATGTTGGACATCTTGGTTGGCAGGCGGGGTCATTGGACACATTTTTTAAACTAGATACCCCAATGATGATTTGGCAAGTTTGGTTAAATTTGGCCCAGTAGTTTCAGAGGAGAAGATTTTTGTAAAAATTAATAGACGACAATGGGACAATGAACAACGAACAACAGACGCCAAGTGATGAAAAAAGCTCACGGCCTTTTAGGCCAGGTGAGCTAAAAAAAAATTAATCCCCAAATGCATGCAAATGTAATGCGCCTTAAATATTTAACTGTATGTAGAATTGACTCTTTTTAAGGATTTTTTTTATACATTCTACTGCCTTTTAAGCATTAGAACAAATGGGTAACTTACATAAATATGAAAACCTTCAATTGGTGGACATTTTGAACTAGACTCAGTCTAGTAGTTAAATTTTTATTTAACCACATAATGATCTTGGATATTGTTCAATTCAATAGTTCAATATACAAACAGTTAAGACAAACCTTTAAAAGTTTTATAATTTGTGGATCTCTGATTTTGATTTTCAAACCTTAAAAAAACTTAAGAAAACTATGTAGACATGCATAATACACACACCCTTTCTCAGAAACCTACACCAGGGTAAAAATCTGTGTATCTTATACAAACGAAAACAAAACAGTAAGTTTAACTGGTATATTTTTTTTTCTCAAGTATCGTCTATGTGTAGTTGACTAATAGAACAATGTAAATCATTTGTTTGCTTTGACAAAAGGCAAAAGGTCTAACAATAATATACAGTTTACTTACACACAATCATTTCTTAATATCATAGAACAATTTGCAAAAAAAGGGACAATGTTGTTCTTTGTGATCTATAATATAATGTTGAACTTTCAATGCTATATTTATGCTGTTTTTACTTGCCAATGTGTACACTGCTACTTGTTGGGTCTTGTGTATAGCCAATAACATCAGCCTAAAAATACAATTGTACATTTCAATAATGGGCTTACATAAATTATTTTAATTCTAATTTCCAATAGAACAATTTCACAGTTATGCATTTTCCTATTCATATTCAATGTCACAATGCTTATAATATTATGTTTCCGTAAGAGTCAATTGTTCAAAAACATAAATTACTCCAATTGATCTCTGGTCAACTGGTGTAACTCGTTCATAAAAAGGAACTTAAACTGGCCTATAAGAAATCTGACCTCAAATTCATGTTGAATTGGACAATGCCATTTAAATTAATTATACTTCAGGTCAAAATGCCAGATTTTGATTGGTTAATACAAGGGAGATAATTTACTCTATCCCATGGCAAGTACTTTATTACCCTTCACAGAGACGCTTGATCAAGTGTGTGCTTTATTGAATCCGGATGGTTGTTATGTACAGTTGTCATACTTTATTTCTTTTAATTTAAAATTTAATAGAAAATAAGAACAGAACATTCAGTATAATAAATTAAATAACACATATCTGAGAGGGTAATAGAGCAGATTGTTACCCCTCGAAAAGACTTTGTCAACCTTGGCTTCGCTTCAGTTGACAAGTGTTTTCTTGGGGTAACAATCTGCTCTATCACCCTCTCAGCTATGTGTTATTTATCTAATGACATTTTTGTGCATAAAATGTATCATTAAATTGTCAAATTTTGTTATTCATGATTCTCTGAGTATATTAACATGTAATCTACCACAAATATCAACAAGGGGACATCATACAAGACTAGAAAATCTTGCATGCCTTACCAAAAATACAAAAATTTATCAATCTGTCAGAAAATGTCATAATCAAAGATCGTAGTTAGTTCAGCATTAGTTTGATAATAACAAGAAAATGACCTAATTTATTAAGTATAGTGAAAACCAGAAATGCACCTAGACTGAACTCTTGTTTAATGACAGGCATCAATGTTTTTTTAACAATTTCAAGTGTAAACAAATTCCTGTCTAACATGAACAATAACTTTCATTTAGACAATTTCCATTTTATTAGTAAAATTACCAAGTCTTCTTTTTTGTAGCCAACATACAACAATTCACATTTTTCTTCATGTTTAGTCAGATATTTCCTAGGCATTCTGTGACTGCTGTCAAATGAACAGGAAACAATATCATCTTGCTAAAACAAATAAAATAACAAACATGATGTAAATCATTATCTATATAGAACAAATTATTTTTTGACATCTATTCGCACAATATCATTTATGTTGTATATGATATTTAAAGCTTCTTTTGAAAGAGAACTTGATATTTACAAAATCACTGGGCTTACACTTTCCCCCATACCTACAAATTTGACCTCATAATTTTACTATAGAAAACATAATAATAGATCTTTCATCAAAATTGGAAAATGTTCCTAATGAAAGAGAAAGATTCTAAGGAATATTAGAACAGAAACTAATCAAATTCTGTTTTACACAGTAAAATATTCTCAAATCATGTTATCAGTTAGCTGACATGGTTTGGGTCATACCACTTTTTGGGATATTACCATATAAGTTATACAACAATTAGGCATTCATAAAAAGTTGAATAAGTTGATGCAAACTGTACCACCTGTCCACTAAGATTGATTGTAAGATTTTGAAAAAATATTGAAAGGTCAAAGACAAAAGAATAACTAATTTTCCAAGGTATTATGTGTGTGCAAGTCATCTGATGAAAGGAACCAAATGGCAGGATCACTCAATAGGGCAGGGGACTAGTATATATACTAATGGGCCAACAACTGCCACAGAGGATGATTGTAAATGACAAAATTCACTCCATTTGTCGCATAAGATACCTTTATAAAGTGTTCTGGTGTCCATCCTACATACTCCAGGATATGTGTAACTTCATTCTGACATTCTTTAAGATAATCCTGTAACTCTCTTACAGTACTGTCCCTGTCTTCCAACATGTTATATTCCATCATCTTTCTAAATTAGAATTTATTTATCATTAAAAAAGCTAACTTCACTAAAATTAGATTTAGCAGATAGGCATTTTTCTGTGTTATCTGTCATGCAGTGTTTGTTTTTTTTGTCAGTGAAATTTGGACATGTTTGAGAGCTTTGAAAACATTTATTAATATTTAAATTTTGAAATATTTTATGCTTGACTTTGAATCTTTATTTATATTTATATATATATATATATTACTAAATATTCTGATGAAGGATATCTGTTATCCGAAATATTTAACATTTGTTCATTTTATTATTATTTTTTGGTGATGTTGTACCCTTTTAGACTCGTATATTATATTTTGTAGTGTACTGTATCATAACTATATGATCCATCGCCCCGTAAGATTTATTGTTGGCTATTATTCAGTCATTTAATATTACTAAATATTCTATATTCTATAACATGTATAATACGTACACTGTCTACAACTATAATAAGAATTCATGCAAGACTACAACATCATCTATGTAAGGTAGGCCATTAAAATGGAAAAGTCGCTACCCCACTACATGTCATGTATTTTGTTTGTATAAATGATCTAAAATGCACTTTTTAATGTTTGTTCTTAAATAAATCTTTTAGATTTTTTGCATGCAAATTTATATCCAATTGGGTTTAATTTTTATCATGTTTATATGATATTTTTATCATGTTTATATGATATTTTTATCATGTTTATATGATATTTTTATCATGTTTATATGATATATCCCCAAGTTGAAACTAATTATTATAACACATTAGGGTGACTGGTTGGTCTTTTCACCACCAAACATGAAACAGTGTGATAGTATAACTTGTAATTGAAAAATAAGACAGTTAATTATGATCATACATGTATGTTATGTATACAACATGATGTTCAATATGAATTTCCCGGAAAAAAATCTTAGCTGAATTACAAAATACGGAAATGTTTTTGTTTATTTCGATGCTCTTTTTTTGGCATCATTGACCTTCTCTTTACACCCAGGCTATCTGGACTTAAACATCAAATGGTGCAATATTATAACATGAAGGGAAAAATGTCCTGGTAAAAATTCAGACCCCCAGCTGATCAATGCATTGTTAAAATGTAGATATAAATACATGCCTAGCTAATCTACATGTAGAATGCTGGTGCTTCACTATCTAACATATTAACATTGCATACAAAGGGGGAGGCATCACCTTCCAGAACTTTTTAATTAAAATCTGATGTACAATAATAATTGAAATACACATCATTTGTAACATACTTTTGTGCTTTATAAAACATTAGAAATTTATGTTGTGTTAGATTATCACTGTCTGATCAGACACTGATTCACTCTCAGGCAGTCTCAAAATCTTAGGTGAGTCATATCATACAAATACAAATATTTTATTGGCACAAACACAATTACAATAATTGGCAAAGGCCCATATTTCAGTACATTATAACAATGAATACAGCATAATAAAATAATATGTTATAATTAAGAAGCTAAAATCTCATTACCAGACATTTATGTATATAAGAACTTGTCACTTTCAGGACTTTTAAAGAGTTGCTATTAATGCAACGTTTCATATCTAGCTGACTCTCACTAGAACTTGTAGGAAGTATATTTAATATAATAGTTTTAAAGTTTATTCTGTATTTAAAAAAAATTCACAATTCAATAGAAAGTGATTTTCATCTTCTACCTCACCCGATTTACATACATTACAAACTCGTTCATTGGTTGGTAAACCTAAATGTCGCCCTTTTCTATAGCAAGATTGTGTGCACTCAATCTTCTTTTACACAGAGATGACCTTTCTAATTTATTACTTAGAACATCAACATAAGAACTACGCTGATTTGAATTATGAAATTGTTGATAAATTTTTAGTTTGGATGAATTGTAAATTTTTGATGATTGATCCTGTGTGCATCACTGTATCAGCATGCCAAACATTTAATTTTGTACGAAATTCAATTACTTTCAGTTTTTACTTGACCTTAACAAGGATACACCACAACACGAATACAAGACATCATTTTAGTATTCCTATATGTTTCTTCCCATTTCGGGTTTTGGTTAAATCTGCAGGACGAATACAGCAAACTCGACCCAAACAGCCCTCGGCCCGAGTCAAAAAGAATTACTAAAATAGACGGGTGAGTGATGCTAACATTGTTATGTACAGTTATCATATTTGCGGGTGAATGTTTTTATAATATTAGCTTTTGGCTTAAGGATGTTTGCTACTTTTTTTTTACTCTTTTTACTCAGATTAATCGAAATCCTCTGGTTTAATCCATGTAGTGCCATTAAAAACGTTGCCTGCTAACCCCTATTTATCGTTTCATAATTTTATTATATGTAGCTTAAAAAAAACCATAATTGAAAATCTTATAAAATCCTTGTTATTTTTTCATAGTTTTTGAAAGACAAAAGGTGTCGATGTTAAATGTATGAAAAGTCTAGAGAGAATCATTTCCCGCCAATTTTTTAATGGCTTTTATCTCTAAAACAAGGTTACGGACCCCTCTTTTTTTCTGCTTTTTTAGTACTGTTATTTATATACTATCAATTTATAACAGTCTTTTAAAAAGCTTGTTATTTTGAAAATACATCTTGTCTTGAATTGTAGTCTCTTGTTATAAATCTTGCTGCTTGTCGTTTTGTCCTTTCAGGCTTTTTGGTGTTTGTGTATAGGAGTCCCATACTATCGCTCCATACTACATTAATTTGTTGGCCTGAAAGCGAAATAACTGCCGTATTCATATTTCGAAAATAATTTAGAAATTGATAAAAGGCTAAGTAAAAGTACTATTTCTTGGATTAAAAGCATCCTTTAGAACTCAGAAAGCGTTTTGTGTACGTATCGACCGATAAAGCAGCCAGCAATGTGGTAGTAGTATGAAATAAATGCTACACTGAATCGTAAAGAATAAAATAAAAATGTGTCTACAATCATTCAAGACCCTGCGATGAGCTTCCTGCACAGAGAGACAATTAGTTAACGATCATGTCACTACCCGGCACATTTCAGCTTAATGTCTACTCTGAACATTTGAAGGTCCCTATCATGTCTTTGTTACCTAAACTATACACACAAAAAACGTCAAAAACTCTTTTGATGTTTTAGATGAATTGCATGCATCCGTTCAATTTGGTTGACAATTAGGACTGTTCGACTCTGTACACTACACATTCACACAATCCTATCAAACGGACGTTCTCTTATTTGAATAAATTGTACTTAGTTTTGATTACAGTTGTATTGCTGCAACCCATTAATGCCTACTCTGTAAAGCAAAACCTAAATATGCAAGATATCCCTACTGGAAGTGCGATTAAATGACCGAAGCTGCAATTGAGTTTTCTCCTTGATAACATCAAGGATAACAAGAATGTGTCCATAGTACACGGATGCCCCACTCGCACTATCATTTTCTATGTTCAGTGAAATTGGGGTCAAAACTCTAATTTGATCATATCATAGGGAACATGCACAGTGTACTGAGTTTCAAGTTGATTGGACTTCAACTTCATCAAAAACAACCTTGACCAAAAACTTTAACCTGAAGCGGGACAGACGGACGGACGGACGAACAGACGCACAGACCGAAAGACATAATGCTCCTCTACTATCGTAGGTGGGGCATAAAAAAAAGACAAATCTCCACAAGAGACCAAATGACACAGAAATTAGTAACAACTATAAAATCACGATAAAATTTTAACCAATTTGACGCTAACGGTAGCCGAAAATGACCGTTTGACTCCTGACGGTAAAGGGCATTCCAACCCTCATAAAAGGCCCCAAAATGACAAATTTAAACAATTCAAATGAGAAATCTAACCGGGCCTAATTTATGTACAAAATAATGAACGAAAAACAAATATGTCACTCAGCAACAAACGACGACAAGTACGTTTTGGCAATACGATTCTTTGACAGGTTGTATATATTCCTATAGGCACAAATTGTGCCTCTTTTTACCAGATTTGTGCTGTATTATAACTTAGTGAACCGTGGCCAAACTCAGTCAGTAGAGATCCGTTTCAATTCCATTTTTAAATTGATAAATTTAATAACACTTGTATCGTTACGTTGACGACACATTTGCTTTTCAAGAATTTTGTAATTACACTACAAAAATTTACACAAGGGAAGTTACTTTAAATAGTTATAATATACTAGTTAACAGTAATAGTTGTCCTTTCCTATATTCATATATTTCAATTTCACACGCGGGAAAACCTCTACAAAACGAGAGGCATGATATATCAAAGGGGAAGTCAAAGTCATTTAAGTCGAAAACGAAGGGATAATGTCATGATAAAAAAACGACCACAAAAAACGGGGATGATTTCAAGTGCTCCGGAAGGGTTAGCAGATCCTGCTCTACATGTGGCACCCGTCGTGTTGCTCGTGTAAGCATAGGCGGATCCTGGGGGCCTGAGGGGCCGGGCCTCCCACCTTTTGTGGGAAAAATTTGGCTGATTATATAGGGAATCACTGAATCATGATTGTAGCGGGCCCCCTCTTATGGCAGTCAGTGCCCCCCCCCCCCCCCTCTTATAAAAGTTCTGGATCCGCCACTGGTAAGTTTACAAACCTGGTGATAAGTCTAATTCAATTTGAAAGACAAATTGTTTATCTTCCCTATTCTAAAATTCTCTTTTTTTTAAGTATGATTTATCCTTCCCTATAATAAGATATTTGTAAAAGTTAGAACAAAAGAGACGATTTTTCGTTCCCCTTTGTCTATTTTTTCAAAAAAGATTAAGCAAGAATTTGAATAGTATCTACATTTTAGTTTAATTAACTAACCTTTATTCTAATTAATACATGACATGTTGTTATATTAGACCCATTTATAAGTTGGAACCAGTTTTACAGTGGTATGAGTTTACTGTGGTACGAGTTTGGAAAGGTACGAGCTTACCTACGGCGGTACGAGTTGTAAAAGGTACGAACCGACCTGCTAACCATTCTTGAGAAAATCGTACGACTATCACGTGAGTTAAAAGTGTGTCACAAGTTGTCAAGAAGGAAATAATTTTTACTATAAGCATAAGGTGGAGCCGCAGAAAAGAATGGACAAATTTATAGCTGCTGTTATCCTGGTTGTGTGTATGTCTGTAGATTTCAGCTCAGGCAAAACACCATTCCATACTTGTAAAAGTGAGTTTAATTAATTTCTATACGTTTTGATCTCTATAATTTCCATGATTCAACAATAGACAACATGCATGTTTGTTTCTTCATTTCTCAGGAATCCGGGTCCGTTCGCGCCCATTCACGTTCGCCCCCTTTCACGTTCGCACCCCGGGTCCGTTCGCACCCTACACGTTCGCACCCTTTTTATTGATTTTGTCTTAAATAATTTTTCAATCGTATTTTGGTTAGTGTATTGCTATAAATATTTTTTTTTTTCATTGTTTTAAAATGAAGTGACTCTCTAAAAACGATATTTGTGTTGAATAATTTTTTAATCGTGTTTTGGTTATTGTATTGCTATAAATAAGTTTTTTTTCATTGTTTCAAAACATGCAAAATAAAGTGACGTTTTTTGTGTTGAATATCTTTTTAATCGTGTTTTGTGTATTGCTGTATTTTTTTTTTCATTGTTTCAAAATAAAGTGACTTTCTAAAAAAAGGTTTTTTGTGTTGAATATTATTTAAATGTTAAGATACCAAACCGCTTTAAACTCAACAACAATAACATTTTGAATCTTAATTGTTTTTACTCATACCAAGTTAAATACATGCTGATATAACTACATGCAGAATTTACATCAAGTTTAGCTGTGTAAACACCATATATAATTAACAGTAATCATAAATAATTAATCATCAAATCAATTTAAAACAATATTTCATTTAAAAAATTCAAAAATTGCCGAATTTTTCTTTATTTTGAGATAAACATCTTAAAAAACATCTTATAATTCATCGGGTTTTTGAATAAAAAAAAAGGGTGCGAACGGACCCAGGGGGCGAACGTGTGGGGTGCGAACTTGTAGGGTGCGAACGTGTATTGGGCGCGAACGGACCCGATACCATTTCTCAGTATAATTTTGCAGACTTGGAACGCGTGAACTCATGAAATTTTCTTAAGGGGGTCCCGCTGACTGACCGCTCCAGTCATGCTTCAGTGATTCCCTATATAATCAACAAAATTTTTCCCACGGTAGGGGGGGGCCCCTGGATCCGCCTATGTATTTGCATCAAGTTCAACCTACAAAAGTAAAAAATGTAACCCCCTTTTTCAGACATTAATTCTTTGTACCTATTTTAAATCTAAAGTAACAGATTTGGATAGTTAGGCAAAAAATATAGTTGTGTTTCCTGCCTACCTATCAGGCCAAAAAAAATATTTGTGTTTCCTGCCTACCCTACAAGATCGGAGAAAACGGAGCCGATTGTAAATGATGTATAAGCTTAATAACAACTATGTGAAAATTGATACATCAAATAAGCTGATACCAAATGAATGCTCTTCCAGAAATAACAACGAAAAAGCATTCAGAATACCATTATGCATAACAACAGTCTGGAAGGAGTCGTTCTACCCTAGAACAATCAGATCTAGAGTGGAACACCTTGCCCAACTGTAAGGTCTCTGCCCCGAGTTCTGAATCTTTCAAGGCTCAGCTCTGTCATTAAATAAAATGACATGTTTTTATATGCACATGTATATAAATTTCACCCAGTTTTTGAATTTCAAAATTGTTTTCATGCGCACACTCCAAAAATGTGGCAGGATAGTCAACCAGTTGATGGTGGGCGCTTACTGGAAGAAGACCTACAGTACCAGGCCAAAAAATGTAGTTGTGTTTCCTGTCTACCTACCCTAAATTTTCATACTTACTCTAACACACGTTATTGGCATTTTTGGTTAAACATTTGTACAGTTCAGACATTTTTGGTTATAAACACTTCTAAAATAATGAGCATTTCCCTATATGATCTATACAATTATTTTACCTACTTACCCAATCCTTTAAGAGGGTCTGTAAGGCATTTATAAAAGAATAGAGAATAATGGACTAATACTACAGAAAAATGGCAAAAAAAAAATAAAGAGTAGAGAAAAATGTGTAAAATAATAAAGAATAGAGAATAATGGGGTGCTAAAATATAAAATGAATAAAAGGCAAAATTTATAAAAAATGGAGAAAAATGGCTTAATTTAAAAAGTTAAAGAATACACAATTGAATGACAACCCATCCAGATTTTACTTCATGCCTGAAATCAGGAAACAAGCATTTTTGTTGTCTTTACCAAAATATGTTTGTTTTATTTCAGGTGCATCATCTAAAGTAACCAATGTAGTTATTCCAGGATGTGATGCACCACCTTGTAAGCTGAAGAAGGGATCAAATGCTGCCTTGTCGATATCATTTACTGCAGGTATAATCTAAAAGATAAATAGTATTAAACTACCAATCCAACAAGCATCGTTTTAGTTTAATTTCATCATATTACCCGTACATCATATTAAGACACAAAAAATTACTTGAATCCTAGACTCATCCAAATCTATTGGTACTCACCATTTCTAAAAGTGATGAGTCCCAGGACTCACCATGAAAAATTCCTAGTGAGAACCCTGGTATAAATGTACATTTTGTAATGTGGATTCGTTTATTTTTGTGGATTGAGGAAAATTGTACGTTGGTTGATATCCAATTTCATAGTTTACCAAAGTCTGAATACAAGCCTATTACGGTATATAGAAAATTTGTTGAACAGTGAATTTTTGGTTTACAAGTACATTGAAATACCCATGAATTCTATGAAAATTGGAATCTCATGTATAGCAATGAATCTACATTACACATATTTTCTTGGATAATAAAACAGGATAATATAAACTAATGGAATGATAATTCACATAGGGCAAATATTGGGATAAAATTTAAACATGTTTAAAACTGAGAGAAATATTTGCCATACATGTTACTACCACATATTTATTTGTAAATTTCATGCAGAGATCCTAAAAACAGTTTGAGGGGTCTGCAATTGGCCTGTTGCAAGGTAAAATTTGTCCTTATCCAACGAACCCTTATTTTCCAGTGGCAATCAAATCAATTTTCCGCCCTTCGTCTTGGTCATCCCCCTTACAGAGCCTACTTTATAATATAACATGTAAATTTGTTCTCCCCCTGAATATGCATGAAACAAATTGCCACTTGATGTGCAAACAAGCAACAATCTATCAATCATTATGGCGTAAAACTGTTTTTGCTTCTGATTTAACTTTTGTAATGTGATGAAAAAGGGAACCATGTCTGGTGAAATATCGCAGAAAAAAAGACATTTTTTTTGCAAATGAGTTTACCTAACTATTGTTTTAAATCATTAGAAAAACAAATTCCACCACTATATTTCTAGCAGAAAGATATTTTTCACTATATCTTTAGTTAAATTTTAAACATTAAAAATGCTCAGCAATCCTTTTGATTAAAAAAAAACCAAAAAACATAAAGGTAGATGAAGATTATCATGATATTTCCAGTTAATGCTTATACAAAAGTCAAAGTTGATGCCATGAAGTTCAATATATATCAAATATGTTTACAGGAGAGGCATATACAAAGATAACAGCTGATGTACATGGTGTAATTAGTTACATACCAGTTCCATTTACACCCCCAAATGTGGATGGATGTCATCATAGTGGACTAACCTGTCCTTTGACAAAGGGAAAGAATTACGTTTACAATAATACCATTCCCGTTAAAAGCAGTTACCCAGATGTAAGTTATTTTACTATTATCGTAATTTCTGATTTTATGATGTTTTTATTATTGCGAAAATTTTTACTATAGGTTTCGCAAAAATGAAATAATTTTCATTTCAACTTTTTATATCAGTATTTGTTCTCCATGTGTCCTAATATGACAAAAAAAAAACTCACATTTTGTCCATTCTTCAAAAATTGTGATAATAAATACACGCAATAATTTCTGAATTTACAGTAGTTAAAAAGGGTGGTGGTGTGTTTAATCTTTCTATCTTTTTAAAAAAACTTCCACAGGAAATTGTTACTTGTATATACTTTACATGATTATTTTGTTTATTTTATATATCTAAGTAGAAAAAACCACACAGGAAGTTGTTACTTATTCTTACTTTACATGATTATTCATTATATATATTTCAGTTGCAACTTGTGGTACGATGGGAGCTTTTGGATGAGAATAACAAAGACATTCTATGTGTTGAAGTTCCATGTGAAATATCTAATTAGATACCAAAAAGCACAAACAATCCAAACAAGGACCTCTTTTCCAAAAATAAACTGAGAAAAATCTCCCCCAAATTTGATAACAATAGATCCAAAAAGTGAGTTCCGAAGAAAAAAAATGAAGGTTCGGGTTATTAACAACCCTTACAATAGTTGAAAAATATTTTAATGTTAACATTAAAGGTAATTACCACTCTGGTACAGTACACATGAAGAGATTCAGTTTAAATCACTGTTGCCGGTGTTGAGTGAATCACTATGAAACAGGGTGATTGCTGGTGATTGAAGGTGATAGCACTCTGTTATATATTACACAGAGTGATATCACTCACATTCACAATTGATGTGTGTTGTGAAAATTCCACACCAACAGTGATGTATGAACTAATCATTGTGTGTACTGTTTTACACTGCTTTGATGACAGAGTCTCATATATTGGTATTTGTTTTATTAATGTTTGTCACGATTACGATATTGTTGTTACGTATATATGTTCAAAAGGATGAACCAATGTAACATTTTACTTCAGACAATTCCTAATCGATTATTATATCAAGTTTTTAGATGCAATAATGAAATTTTGAAAATGAAATATCATATTTTCTTCTAGCAAATGTTTCCTTGCCTTATTTGAATAAAGACTTTCCTTTTCAAGATAAGAATATGTCTGCTTGCCTCAATAAAAAGGAAAGTGAAAAAAGTCATAGAAAGTTATATTTCCAAATTGTCTGTAGACCAAGATTCACTAATATTTAAGTCTAAAAATATAGCTCACATTTAATTTAAAATATGAAGGCAACTGTGCATATTTCAGTTATAAAATAAACACAATGATTTTTTTTTATTCCTGAAAACTAAAACAAAATCATGTATAGACATGTTACTTGTACATCTTTGTTTACATGTGTCTGTTGTTATTTTTGTAAGTCAGTTTTGAGATGAATGGGTTGGTCATTGATGCTCTTCCATATGTATGAGTGTACAAATTACAAATATTTGATCTTTAATCAATTTTTATAGTGTATTGATTTAAAATAATTGTGTTCAGGTTTTTTCTTGATCTGTATTTAGAGTGCTTTTGCGAATATGCCTGAATTGTGTGGAAATTGAGTGGTAAAAAAGTGTTATTTTGTTGGTCTACTAATTTCTTATAGCTTTAAATAACATCAGACCCAGCAACGTTTACTCAAAGTCCGTACTGTAAGTGCTTGTTAACTAAGCACTTGTTAACACACTGCTGAAGTGGGATTATTTTTTATGATGCATAATATGAATGTATAAAAGCAAAGTCATAATTGTATAATGAAACTATGTACTTTGACCTATAATGGTTTACTTTTACACATTGTGACTTGGATGGAGAGTTGTCTCATTGGCACTCATACCACATCTTCTTATATCTATGTGATTATTCTTGTGTTGTTTAAATTGACAGAGAACTTTTAATGCCCTTTCCCCTCCTCTGGTAAATCACACATTGTAGTATGTAAATTTTACATAAAAAAATACTTATTTTTTTAAATGCTTGAATTCAAGATTAAGCCTACAGACCTGTCTCAATTATATCACTATTTGGATTTGCTACACATCATTTTCAAAAGATGTTCTATTCACATTTTTGGGTTTTTTTTTTATTTTCCAATGACATTGTAGTTTATGATCTTTTATTGTTAGGAAGAAATCTCTTTGAAATATGATTAATGATCTGTTATAGCTATTGTAATCTTAAAAATAAGAGAATATCATTCTTGCTTTTATATTGTCACTTCACCTTTATATACAATGAATATTTTATATGTCTATTTTCAATAAAAAAAAGTCTTTCTATTTATTTTTCTGTTTTGATATATAGGACATTTTTTTACTGAATGTCTACTGCAATGCTTGGTCTGTGTTGAAATGATTCAGTTTGTTTTTGTAAACCAACTTCTTAGTCCTTTGTCCAGGTCATGTTAAAGATGCAGAAAAAATAGACCATGCTTTGCAAATATCACCACAGGTAAGATGGTATGGCAATGTCTTCGTCATCCAAAGACAATTGGTTTCCAGACAATAACTTATATGTAAGTCAATGGATCTCAATGAAATTGTACCACAAGGTTCTGTACCAAAAAATAAAGGTTTGGGATTGATTTTGGGGGTTATGGCCCTAAGTGTTAAGGAAGTGGGGCCAAAAACAATACTTTGCATTAATTGTTTATTCCTTGACCAATTTCAATGGGGTTTACTTCAAAGTCTTGAATTCTTGGGGTTCTTTAATACGCTGAATCTAACCATGTATTTAGATTTTTGATTTTGGGCCCAGATTTGAATTAGTCCACATTGAGGTCAAGACTCCAAAATTAAACTTTGTTTGAATTCATCAAAAATTGAATTATTGGGGTTCTTTGATATGCAGAATCTAACTGTGTATTTAGATTTATAATTTTTAGGCCCCATTTTCAAATTGGTCTAAAGGGTCCAAAATGAAACTTTGTTTGATTTTGACAAAAATTGAAAATTTGTGGTTCTTTGATAAGCTGAATCTGAACATGTATTTAGATTTTTTATTCTTAGGCCCAGTTTTCAAGTTAGTCCAAATCAGGGTCCAAAATTAAACTTTGTTTGATTTCAACAAAAATTGAATATATGGGGTTCTTTGATATGCTGAGTCTAACTGTGTATTTAGATTTTGGATTTTGGTGCCTTATTATCAAATTGGTCCACATTCATGTCCAAAGGGTCCAAAATTTCACTTTTATTGATTTCATCAAAAATTGAATTCTTGGGGTTCTTTGATATGCTGAATCTTAACATGTATTTAGATTTTTTATTCTTAGGCCCAGTTTTCAAGTTAGTCCAAATCAGGGTCCAAAATTAAACTTTGTTTGATTTCAACAAAAATTGAATATATGGGGTTCTTTGATATGCTGAGTCTAACGGTGTATTTAGATTTTGGATTTTGGTGCCTTATTATCAAATTGGTCCACATTCATGTCCAAAGGGTCCAAAATTTCACTTTTATTGATTTCATCAAAAATTGAATTCTTGGGGTTCTTTGATATGCTGAATCTATTATAAACCATGTATTTAGATTTTGGAAAATGGACCATAATAGGTATATGTCCAATTTCAGTTTTCTAAGTTCTTAGACCACATTCATTTCTGTGTCAGAAAATTATTTAATCACAATCCAAATTCAGAGCTGTATCAAGCTTGAATGTTGTGTCCATACTTGCCCCAACTGTTCAGGGTTTGAACTCTCTGGTCTTATCAAGCTGCGCCCTATGGAGCATTTTATTTATTGTGTCATCTGCAAATGAGAAGTAGGGATGCTGATCTGGTGGCTACTACATAAACTATTTGTATAAAGTGTTCTATTTCAGAAGGAAGAAGACCTGGATACTTTATACCTTCTATACAAGTGCCTTATGATATGAAGTTTCCGTCTGTCATATGTCCATTGTCTTTGACCTCATTTTCATTGTTCAGTGACTGAATTAAAAAAACTTTAGTTTTCTCATCACATGAATTTCTAACTTATGAAAAATTTGATAACTTTATTTGGTATGTGGATTCCTTGCAATGACTAAATGTCTGTCAGACAGTGTTCACTTGACCTTGACCTCATTTCATAGAACAGTGACCAAGGTTAAGTATTGGTAGTTAAGTCCATATCTCAGATACTAAAAGCAATAGGCCAACTATACTTTGGCATATGGAATTATATCCATTTCTGACTGGTAAGGTTCATATGACCCTGATCTTATTTTCATGACATTGAGGAATGTCCAGTTTCAGTTTTAGTGCATCTGTTTCTCAGATACAATAAGCAATTTGGTGAATGGAATAATTGTAAAGTTAACATGCTTGCTGGCACAGTTCTTCTGACCTTAATCTCATTAACCTGGATCATCCATAATATTAAATTTAAGTGTTACTAGTAAAATCTCCATTCGTGATCAGTAAAGCAAGCCAGACATTTCCACTTGACTGAGATGCCATGTAAACTAATGGGAAAAGCAGGTACTGACCAATTCAGCTAATTATATGAATAGACTCAACAGATTGAAATGTCCTGTATCATCTGTACAATTGAAGATCTGACACTATACTATTCAAGTTTCAATGCAAAACAACTAACCATGCTATCTGAATCATGATAAGGTCAGAGCTGAATTTCTGAATGCCAGGAGACACAACTGGAGACAATTAAAGGGATAAGAATACCCATTCCACACAATTTTTGATAGCAGTGCACCAGTTCTAGTCAATGATAAGCCATATAGGAAATTTACATTGACAAAGTTCAATGGGGCATACAGAAACTTAGAACAAGAATGCACAAGTTCACTTAGAATTACATTTGAGCGCAAGAAAATCTGTTTGTGAATTGGTTGAATCTAGGGGTCAAAGTTCAACATATTAACTGAAATTTTTGCATGTGCTTTACATCGAGGCTTGCATTGCTTAACATCGAGGCCACAGTAGTTCAACCAATCGGGGAATGTTTATTTGGGGCATACATCTATTTTTACTGCAGGTTTTGGCATATTTTAATCGAAATTATAGAAAGATGGAATGTTGTTAGTAGACACAAAACAGAAAATGATGAATACTTTTAGTAAAAGATAAATTGGATTGGGTTTCTGTGTATTCACATTATTTGTACAACTCTCCTTACTGATGAGATATTTTGGAATTTCTGTGACCTAAATGGTTCGCGAAAATTAATATTTTTATATATAGTATAGTAACTAGTTGACACATAACAGTATTGAATTATTTTGTGATCTACTGCTATATTTTAAAACTATACTAGTTATTTCTAACCAAAAATAACCACTGGGATTTTTCTTCTTAATGTATTATTCTTACAAGAAGGGGGACAACTATTGCAAATAGAACATATGGGGGACAACAAAAGATCATCAGCACTCTTAAATATGACTCATTGGTTAGGGAGCGTATTTTTTCATTAATGACTCATCATTTTGAAGACATACTAAATAAATAAAAATAATCATACTGAGGAAAGGGGGGAAATGTTATGCAGAAAATTATTATTTCAAGGGAGACAATTTTAGTGATTTTTTTCTTCATGAATAATTTATAAATAAAATATTATACCATCATCAAATCAGATTTGCAAATAGGGCTGAAATGACATCCTGATCTTACTGTATGGTTCAGTTTTTTATGCAAGAACCACAGAATGGTAAAGTTTTACCATTTGAAACATTTTTGTATTCTTAAAACCAAATATGCATTGTAAATGGAACTTCAATGTTGGACACCAAATTGTATATAATTCAGGAACCTTTCTGCACTTAGCAGCAAAACAATCTTAAATTGTCAATGATTTTAAACCCAATTATGAAAAGCAAATATTGTAATACAGAAAAACTGTTTCTCCTTTTTATATATTTAAGAATCTTGTGATAAATTTTTTCATTCCATTTGTAGGTAAATATGTTTGGATTCTGGATATTTTGGAAAAAAAGGTGAAAATGAAGAAAGGATTTTAACACAGAGAAAATAGTTTTTAAAAGAGAGATACTCAGTTACATAATATAACTCCGAAATTAATTTTCTGTGATAGAATATGGACTCAAACACTAATGGACTCAGGGACAAGCTGTGCCAGGTGAAAGAGACTAAAAAAAAAAACCCAAAAAATAACAAGAGACTTCAAAAAAACAAAAACAAAAAGACTTGGGAATATGATTTGCACAAGAAACTTTTATTACACAACAAAACTATAGAATATAATCAGTGATGAAATAAAAACTTTGTTTAGCATGAATTGTTTTATTTTTTAGTTCTAACTTTGAGGAGAGAAAGTTGACTTAATTTTCAAATATGAAATGTGTGAAAGGGATAGTGAGAGTTGGATAGGTTTTTTGTAGATTTTCCTAGTTTACATGTTTCTTGATGGGTAAAATTATTTGACTTTTCAGATCTGTCAGAAACCTTCTTAAAAGTTTCTGTTTGCTGATACTGGTGATGATATCATTTTAACAGGATGTGCAGGTCAATGATTTTTTTTGAAAATTATTTGGTGTTCAGCCACTCCTCCCCTTTATTCTTGGTCCATTGAAACAGTCACGTTTTTTCCTAGGTTATATTCTTCTCATATATTGTATGATGGTATGATACCCCTAATGGGATGTATTTTGCTTGATTTTCATATGATGAAGACATAATCTTTCAATCAGTTTAATTGAGGTATGGAGCTAGCATGTCAGTAACTGATAGTAGTCCTTTGTTAATTTATATGTATCCTTGTCATTTTGCTTTTCTTTTATTACCTATTCTGACATCGGACTCGAACTTCTTTTAAACTGAGTATTGCTGTGTGTTTCGTTTATTCTGCATTGGCTAGAGGTATAGGGGGAGGGTTGAGATCTTACAAAACTGGTTTAACTCCTCTGCATGTTTGGGCCTGTCCCAAGTCAGGAGCCTCTGGCCTTTGTTAGTCTTGTATGTTTTTTTTTTACTTTTATAAAAATGAAGATGTGGTATGATTGCCAATGAGACAACTCTCCACAAGAGACCAAATGACACAGAAATTAACAACTATAGGTCACATTACGGCCTTCAACAATGAGCAAAGCCCATACCGCACAGTCAGCTATAAAAGGCCCCGAAATGACAATGTAAAACAATTCAAACGAGAAACTAACGGCCTAATTTATGTACAAAAAATGAACGAAAAACAAATATGTAACACATAAACAAACGACAACCACTGAATTACAGGCTCCTGACTTGGGACAGGCACAATACATACAGAATGTTGCGGGGTTATAAAATATGTTAGCGGGATCCCAACCCTCCCCTAACCT